ACGAGACGCAGGCTCACGACGCTCTGTAATACCTCCTGTCTGCTTAGTGTAAGGGGAAGGAGCAGGTAGTGGGGAGGCTGGCTGTAACTGCGGCTGCGACTGGTCAGGCGGTGGACACAGTAAGGGAGGAGTAAGGCCAGTAGAAGACGGGAGACCAAGAACCTGCTGAAGCAGTGGAACGAAGTACGGTCGCGGCCGCATAGAGCCTCCAGAACCAGCACCAACAGCACCATTACCCCCAGAGCCTGCGCCTCCAGCTCCGGGGTCTCCAGCTCCAGGGTCTCCAGCTCCCACGCCTGCAGCACCACCAGCTCCAGCAGCTCCAGTACCTCCAGTACGAGCACCTCCGGGACCAGCGGCTCCAGTACCTCCAGCAGCTCCAGCTCCAGCGCCTCCAGCTCCAACTCCTGCAGTACCTCCAGCTCCAGCAGCTCCAGTACCTCCAGTACGAGCACCTTCGGGACCAGCGGCTCCAGCACCTCCAGCACCTCCAGGACCAGCAACTCCAGCACCTCCGACTCCAGGGCCTCCAGCGGCAGGCCCCCCAGCTCCAGTAGTGCCACTCCGAAGGCTCCAGCGCCGAGCAAACCACTCGCGCAGCTACGGTGGAGAGAGAGGCTCCCGCCGTGACGAGGCACCCGTAGGACGACCAGCAGACAAAGTACCTACAGGCTCAGCACGCTCAGGCTCATCACCCCCAGGCACAGCACCCCCAGGCTCCGCACGCTCAGGCTCAGCACCTCCAGGCTCCGCACCCTCAGACTCAGCAACCCCAGACTCAGCACCCCCAGGCTCCGCATGCTCAGGCTCAGCACCCCCAGACGCAGCACCCCTATCAGCACCACCCCCAGCAGCACCAGAGTCGACAGCTACATCGACAGGCTCGACAGGGTCTACCTGGGACACACCTGAGGGAGCAGGACCCTGAGGGGGGAGGGGGTCTACCGGAGGAGGACCTAGTGCGAGGAAGAGCGGCGGGAGGGGGAGAGGGGCAGTGCGGTAGGGGAAGAGGCGGTAAAAGGGAACCGACTCGTCAAACGTGACGTCCTGAGAGGGCAGGACACGGCGCGAGGTGGGGTGGTAAAACTGCCAGCCAGGCGCATCAGGGGGAAAGCCAAGGAAGACACAGGGAATGGCGCGGGAGGAGAGCTTGTCCGCGGAGGTATTGCGGACAAAGGCACGAGATCCCCAGACCCGGAACACCGACGCATCGCCAACCTCTCCCGTCCAACGCAGTGTCGGCGAGGTCTCCGGCAAGGAGACACGGGGCCAGAGGATGAGCTGATGCGCAGCGTACGGGACCGCAAACGGCCACAGAAAATGGGGGGCAGCCGCATGGATCATGGAGGTACGAGCGACCTCCATGACTAAGCCAATGCGGCGCTCAGCAACCCCATTCTGCTGCGGAGAGGCCGGAAGCATGAACGACTGGCGAATGCCCTCCCCACGACTAAAGTCCCGCAAGAGGTCGGAGGCAAACTCACCACTTCTGTCAGAGTACAGACGCAGGACGGGAAGGTCCGTGTCGAACCGCTCGCGGAGCTGGAGACGGACAGCGCGGATCCAAGGGATCAAAACATCAGGGACCTCCCGCTTGCTGCGCAAGGGGAAGACCATAATTTAACACGAGTAGTCGTCAACAACCAGCAGAAAGTATCGCTCGCGGCCCTGTCCACGGACGCGGGCTGGGCCCCACACGTCCATGTGTAGAGTCTTCAGGGGAGCTGTTGTCAGGGGAAACGAGGAGGAGTGAGGAGCGGCGCGCTGCCGCCCCTCGACACAGGGAAGGCAGGGAGGGGCAGGCGAGGGTGGGAGGGGAGGCAGAGACCTGGGAAGACCAGAGACAAGGAGACGGGAGGCGTGCCACGGAGGGGTGACCAAGGCGGTGGTGCCAGAGGAGCGTCTGGTGCGACAGGGCGCGACACGAGCAAGGGGCTGCAAGCTGACCTGACGCAGACGCTGACGCAGCTACCTGAGGAGGCTCAGTAGTCAGTGTGTAAAGACTCGACCCAGGCCGACGGGTGAACGTGGCCAGGTGACGGCCCGTCCGTGTACACGTGCAGATCGACACACGCTGACCCCCAGGAGTGGTGGTAGTGACCATCGCATCCTGGAGGGCAGCGGTACTCACCAAGTTCGTAGAGAACGAGGGGAGGTGAAGACCTGAGAGTGAGCCGGACGGAACCGCCGGACATGGGAGAACAGGGGAGGAACGGGCAAGAACTGGGCCCCCTGAGGGGTCAGCCAGTCTGACAGCAACAGGTGCAGGGAGTGGTGTGACTATGGTACTGTCGCGAAAGAAACAGCGGGAAGCACCTGAGTCAAGTGTGAAGGTGTGCAAGGCCTCAGCAGGCGCAGTACCAGAGAGAGCAGAGCAACTAGAGCAGCAGCCTCTATACATGGGTCGGGCGGCACACACAGGTAACAGTCACCCCCAGCACTAACAGGCATTGCATACATGGCAGCAAGGATAGTATCATAGTCAAGAGCAAAGATATCCACACCCCGCCTAAGCAGCTCTAGCTAGCGGGGGAGCTCAGCCGCGTCGCCAAACTCTGCACGCCAGGCGTCGCTCAGACAGGAGAAGCAGCGGGACTGTGTGTGACCAACTGTCCCGCAAGTCTGACCAGCCCGATCACCTGTGCGAATGACGTACGGGCAGGGAGCACTACTACGAGACGCCCCACGCTGAGCGAACCACTCACGAAGCTGCTGGGGCGTAAGGGTCTCGCGCGGACGCCGCTGCAGCTGCATCTGGCCACCGCCAGAAACTCCCCTCTGAACAGCTCCACGGCGACTGCCACTACGGCCGCCGCCACCACTCCAACTAGCGTACCACTCACGAAGCTGCTGGGGCGTGAGGGTCTCGCGCGGACGCCGCTGGAGCTGCAGCTGGCCACCGCCAGAAACTCCCCACCGAACAGCTCCTCCGAGACTGCCACTACGGCCGCCGCCACCACTCCCACCGCTACCACGAAGAGACGTCATAGCGGGCAAAGGAAGGAGGCGTGCGACCAGCACGGCAGCACGCAGGGAAGGGCGGCGCGCGGCCAGAGCAGGGCGGTGCGCTGCAAGTAGGGCGGTGCGCGGGCAGGGGAGGGCGCGTGTGCAGGCAAGGGCAGCGAGCGGGCTGCAGAGGGCAGCGCGCGGGCTGCCAGGGCGGACGCGACGGGCAGGGGCAGGGCGAAGCGCGGGCAGCAGGGCGGCGCGCGGGCTGCAAGGGCGGCGCGCGGGCAGGCAGGGGCGGCGCGCGGACAGGCAGGGGCGGCGCGCGGGCTGGGGCAGGGCAGACGGGCGACGCGGCGGGCTGGGGTAGCCCGCACGGGCGACGCGACGGGCAGGGGCAGGGCGGACGGGCGACGCGGCGGGCTGGGGCAGCCCGCACGGGAGACGCGACGGGCAGAGGCAGGGCGGACGGGCGACGCGACGGGCTGGGGCAGCCCGCACGGGCGACGCAATGGGCAGCAGGGGTGCACGGGCGGCGCGACGCGACGGGCAGCAGGGGCGCACGGCGCGACGGGCAGGACGTGCGCAGGGCGGCGCGGGCAGCGCGACGCAGGGCAGGGCGTGCGCGGGGCGGCGCAACGCAGGGCAGGGCAGAGCGCGTGCTAGGCAGCGCAACGCAGGGCAGGGCAAGGCAGCGCGGCAGCCAGCAGGGCGGCGCGCGGGCAGAGGAGCGCGACTGGTGGGGCAGCGCGACGGACAGGGTAGGGCGCTACGGGTAGGGTAACGCGCCACGGACAGGGAACTGTACGGCGGGCCCAAAAAAAAAACGGTACTGCGACAGGACCTGCTTTGAAACCATGTCAGAATACTAAGCGAGAATGGATGAACTAGTAGCAGGATGGGTACAAGTACTAACCCTAAATTGGGTTGTACCCCATATGGGCTACCCCACTAGAGCCTACACAATATGCAACATATAAGTTTGACAGAAATTTACATGGAAAACCCCAATGTAGAGGAAGGAGCAGGCCCTCAGATATAAGCGTAAAACACGCTGATTAGGCTGATTTTGTAGCTGTGATTTTGGTTTTCCCTGAAAATTCAGCATATGCTTCAATTTTGCACTGAAATTTCAGTATAACCTACCTTGCCACACTGACCATTTTGCGTGTTGCTGTACAAGTAACACTGGCGAATCAGTATAGTGAGGTGAGTCACACTGAAACGCACTTGACCGCGTGGGGGGAGGGGGGGGGGGGGGGGGGGGGGGGGGGGGGGGGGGGGGGAGAGGGGGTGGATAGGGTACGCCTGTACAGTCTGTGTACCTTCGCGTGATTCACGAAACCCCACCCACACACTTGGAATTTTTTCCCATGCGCTGTACGGACAGCTGGTGCGTGCCGAACCGTTTTGTCTCGCTAGAAACTATCACAACACAACAGCTTTGTTGTTTTTTTTACACTGATGGTTCAGTATACTAAGGATTTTTACACTGACGAAATCAGTATAAACAAAACCATGAACGCTGATTTGGACACCAGGTTGGCCGGGGCACGCTGATCCATCAGCATACCCTCGAACCAATCTGAGGGCCTGGGAAGGAGGGGGGCGGGGGGGGGTCTTATATTGATCACCCCCTAAAGGGGGGGTATAACGATTTCGAGGCTTAATAAAGCCCCCCCCCTTGTATTAGCTGGGGTGTTGTATTTGGGGGGGGTCTTTTATCCGGGGGAATATGGTACCATCTCAAAATACTACAGCGAAATTAGGATGGACTAGCAAGAATGGGATACAAATGTGAAACCCTAAAAGTGTTGTACTCTCTAAAGAGCACCTCAGTGTAGCTTAAAACTTACAGATATATATAATTTGACACCCTCCCCTCTCTCCCCCACCTCTCCGCCCCCCCCCCCAAAAACAACACCACTCAAATGGTCAAATAGCTTCTCATGACTTGTCGAGCTAATGCATCAGCTCCACTATTTCTGTAGATGGCAACCAAGTTATGGGCTGCTTCTCGTTTCAATCCTGCGTCACATTCCTGCCCCTCATGATTATTGAGATCCCTGCTTCTGCGAATTCTCGATCCCGGCTGCTCGGTCGGGGCAGGGTGCCGGTGTGAAGTGGCTGAGGAGAGAACGTGCTTGTAGTGGTCGACGGCGAGGTGCAGCAGACCCACGTGGTGGAACGCACGACCCAAGTTGAAATGCACTTCCTGACATGCGCAACAGGGAACCAAACAGGACATGCTGGCCATGGGAAGGAGATGACGAGGGAAGCAGATGGGGGAGGGGACCCACTTGGGAGCACAGTTTACCAGTAAAGTACGCTGACTAGCCTCCTCCTCAGCTGCTCTCACCTCAGGCCAGGTGTGCTCACCTGAGTGTCGCCTGAGAGCTGGGCGTACTGCTGCAGCAGCGCCATGCCCTGCAGCACACACTGGCTGCGGTCACGCAGGCGCGAGCCCAGGGAGAGATTCAGCAGCGCCACTCCTGGTGGCAGCGAGGGTGTGGGGCGTGGGAGGGTGAGGGGGATGAGAGGGGTGAGATGGATGAGAAGGACGAGGGTAGGATTGCGATAATGAAACACACATGAGCTGGTAGGCCCACTGCAGACGACAGCTTCCAGAGCTACACCCATGACAACATCCCCCCCTCTCCCTCCTCCCCTTCCTCCCCCCCCTCTTTCCCATCGCCCTCCTTCCCACAGCACTGCCCTAAACGCCCCCCCGAGCGCACCGCAGCAGAGGCAGATGAGGGGGTCGTGGGGCTGCAGGCGGTGGGCACGCAGGTACTCGCGGCAGGCGCCCTGCATGTGGCCGCGCAGCGCGTGGTGGTGGCCCGACACCAGCACTGCTGCCACGCACGCCGGGTGCCGCATGCGCATCTGCTGCAGGAACTTGGCCCGCCGGTCGTTGCTCTCCGTGCCCCTGCAGGTGGGGGAGAGGGGAGCAGCCATGGTGGAAGGAGGGACGTCTGGATGGGTGACTCGTGTGCTTGTGGTAGACGAGACTTGGATGTCCATGGGTGTGTGTGTGGTTGTGGTTGTGTGGGCGTGTGGGTGTGTGTGGGTGTGCGTCTGACAAATAGACACAATGGTCCCTGCCCCTTGTGTCTTGGCATCTTGTTCAATCCATCAGAGTGGGCGCACATGAAAGAGTGGCACACGAAAGGGTGGGGTAAACGTGTACACGAGAGAGGGAGCACACAGCGCACCGGAGGGTGAGGGAGTGGAAGAGCGACCAGCCGCGGATGCTGTGAGGCTGCTCGCTGATGATGGCCCTCGCCACCTTGAACTGCAGCATGCCACTCGCCTCCTCTGCACGCCGACACACATGCAAGCACAGTGGCACGGGCGCAGGGCGGATGAGATGGGAGGTGCTCAGGCAAGGGATGCAAGCGGAGGCGTGGGAGGGACAGGGAACAGCAGCATGGAGCAGCAGAGGAAATGGCCGGGGGAGGGGCGCTTCTCTGTCCAGCAACGGGATGGGCCGCGCGCTCACCAACAATGGCTGACTGCAGCTGCTTCCGCATGGGCTTGGGAAGGTTCCGGGAAAGAGCGGTCTCGACGAGGCGCTCAGCTTCCATGGGGCGGCCCTCGTGCAGCAGAGCCTGCACCACCTGGGGGGGGTGTGATGGGCCGCACGTGGGTGGGGAAGGGAGGAGGTGGGGTGAGAGGAGTGTAGGGACAGAGCAGGCTGTTGAGAGTACTCATGCAGCGGGCAGGGAGGCTAGAGGTAAGAGAGCGATACGTGCAGGAAGTAGGGCATGCGGGTGGAAGTAGGGCATGCGGGTGGAAGTAGGGCATGCGGGTGGAAGTAGGGCATGCGGGTGGAAGTAGAGCATGCGGGTGGAAGTAGGGCATGCGGGTGGAAGTAGAGCATGCGGGTGGAAGTAGAGCATGCGGGTGGAAGTAGAGCATGCGGGTGGAAGTAGAGCATGCGGGTGGAAGTAGGGCATGCGGGTGGAAGTAGAGCATGCGGGTGGAAGTAGAGCATGCGGGTGGAAGTAGAGCATGCGGGTGGAAGTAGAGCATGCGGGTGGAAGTAGAGCATGCGGGTGGAAGTAGGGCATGCGGGTGGAAGTAGAGCATGCGGGTGGAAGTAGGGCATGCGGGTGGAAGTAGAGCATGCGGGTGGAAGTAGAGCATGCGGGTGGAAGTAGAGCATGCGGGTGGAAGTAGAGCATGCGGGTGGAAGTAGAGCATGCGGGTGGAAGTAGAGCATGCGGGTGGAAGTAGGGCATGCGGGTGGAAGTAGAGCATGCGGGTGGAAGTAGGGCATGCGGGTGGAAGTAGAGCATGCGGGTGGAAGTAGAGCATGCGGGTGGAAGTAGAGCATGCGGGTGGAAGTAGAGCATGCGGGTGGAAGTAGAGCATGCGGGTGGAAGTAGGGCATGCGGGTGGAAGTAGAGCATGCGGGTGGAAGTAGGGCATGCGGGTGGAAGTAGGGCATGCGGGTGGAAGTAGAGCATGCGGGTGGAAGTAGAGCATGCGGGTGGAAGTAGAGCATGCGGGTGGAAGTAGAGCATGCGGGTGGAAGTAGGGCATGCGGGTGGAAGTAGAGCATGCGGGTGGAAGTAGAGCATGCGGGTGGAAGTAGAGCATGCGGGTGGAAGTAGGGCATGCGGGTGGAAGTAGGGCATGCGGGTGGAAGTAGAGCATGCGGGTGGAAGTAGGGCATGCGGGTGGAAGTAGAGCATGCGGGTGGAAGTAGAGCATGCGGGTGGAAGTAGGGCATGCGGGTGGAAGTAGAGCATGCGGGTGGAAGTAGAGCATGCGGGTGGAAGTAGAGCATGCGGGTGGAAGTAGGGCATGCGGGTGGAAGTAGGGCATGCGGGTGGAAGTAGGGCATGCGGGTGGAAGTAGAGCATGCGGGTGGAAGTAGAGCATGCGGGTGGAAGTAGAGCATGCGGGTGGAAGTAGAGCATGCGGGTGGAAGTAGGGCATGCGGGTGGAAGTAGAGCATGCGGGTGGAAGTAGGGCATGCGGGTGGAAGTAGAGCATGCGGGTGGAAGTAGGGCATGCGGGTGGAAGTAGGGCATGCGGGTGGAAGTAGAGCATGCGGGTGGAAGTAGAGCATGCGGGTGGAAGTAGAGCATGCGGGTGGAAGTAGAGCATGCGGGTGGAAGTAGAGCATGCGGGTGGAAGTAGGGCATGCGGGTGGAAGTAGGGCATGCGGGTGGAAGTAGAGCATGCGGGTGGAAGTAGAGCATGCGGGTGGAAGTAGAGCATGCGGGTGGAAGTAGGGCATGCGGGTGGAAGTAGGGCATGCGGGTGGAAGTAGAGCATGCGGGTGGAAGTAGAGCATGCGGGTGGAAGTAGAGCATGCGGGTGGAAGTAGAGCATGCGGGTGGAAGTAGAGCATGCGGGTGGAAGTAGAGCATGCGGGTGGAAGTAGAGCATGCGGGTGGAAGTAGGGCATGCGGGTGGAAGTAGAGCATGCGGGTGGAAGTAGAGCATGCGGGTGGAAGTAGAGCATGCGGGTGGAAGTAGGGCATGCGGGTGGAAGTAGAGCATGCGGGTGGAAGTAGAGCATGCGGGTGGAAGTAGAGCATGCGGGTGGAAGTAGGGCATGCGGGTGGAAGTAGGGCATGCGGGTGGAAGTAGGGCATGCGGGTGGAAGTAGAGCATGCGGGTGGAAGTAGGGCATGCGGGTGGAAGTAGAGCATGCGGGTGGAAGTAGGGCATGCGGGTGGAAGTAGAGCATGCGGGTGGAAGTAGGGCATGCGGGTGGAAGTAGGGCATGCGGGTGGAAGTAGAGCATGCGGGTGGAAGTAGAGCATGCGGGTGGAAGTAGAGCATGCGGGTGGAAGTAGGGCATGCGGGTGGAAGTAGGGCATGCGGGTGGAAGTAGGGCATGCGGGTGGAAGTAGAGCATGCGGGTGGAAGTAGAGCATGCGGGTGGAAGTAGAGCATGCGGGTGGAAGTAGAGCATGCGGGTGGAAGTAGAGCATGCGGGTGGAAGTAGAGCATGCGGGTGGAAGTAGAGCATGCGGGTGGAAGTAGGGCATGCGGGTGGAAGTAGGGCATGCGGGTGGAAGTAGAGCATGCGGGTGGAAGTAGGGCATGCGGGTGGAAGTAGAGCATGCGGGTGGAAGTAGAGCATGCGGGTGGAAGTAGGGCATGCGGGTGGAAGTAGGGCATGCGGGTGGAAGTAGAGCATGCGGGTGGAAGTAGAGCATGCGGGTGGAAGTAGAGCATGCGGGTGGAAGTAGAGCATGCGGGTGGAAGTAGAGCATGCGGGTGGAAGTAGAGCATGCGGGTGGAAGTAGGGCATGCGGGTGGAAGTAGAGCATGCGGGTGGAAGTAGAGCATGCGGGTGGAAGTAGGGCATGCGGGTGGAAGTAGAGCATGCGGGTGGAAGTAGGGCATGCGGGTGGAAGTAGAGCATGCGGGTGGAAGTAGAGCATGCGGGTGGAAGTAGAGCATGCGGGTGGAAGTAGGGCATGCGGGTGGAAGTAGGGCATGCGGGTGGAAGTAGGGCATGCGGGTGGAAGTAGAGCATGCGGGTGGAAGTAGGGCATGCGGGTGGAAAGCTGGGGGACTGAAAGAGGCAGGGCATAGTGGGGTGCATGGGAAGAGGTAGGGCAATGTGGGGCAGGATGAGCGAGGGGCTTCAGGGGCGTGGCGGAGGAAGGGTGGTGGCAGCAGCAGGGAGAGGGGGAAGCAGCGGTCCCCACCATCCACCATCCACCACCCAAATCACCCGAGCACCCACCACTGATTGCGTCTGAGCTTTCCCAGGAAACTGAAAGACAGTGAGAGGCATTACAAGGCGAGACGTAGGAAGGAGGAGGCGTGGGCACCTTGAGCAGCAGGGCGAACTGCTGGTCGTCTGAGAAGATTCCAGGAAGCGGCACCTCGTGCAGCGCGGGCTCGTCCACGTCCTTCAGCCCCAAGTCGCTCAGCTGTGCCGCGCCCCGGGGGGAGGGGAGGGGGGGAGGAGTTGAGTGAGGAGGGAGGAAGAGGGGAGGGGAGAGGGGGTTCAGAGAGGAGCGGGAGGTCGAGTGGTGAGTGGAAAAACACTATTCTCACGATTAAAACACTATTCACTATTCACTATTCACTACTCCAACTCCACAGCACACCACTCCCACATCTGTTGCTTGCCCCGCTGGCTTTCCCCAAATCCCCTCCTCCGCTGGCTTTCCCCAAACCCCCTCCTCCGCTTCCTACTCTCCCTACCCTTCTCACCGCGCCACCCCCTCTCACTTCCCTCCTTTCTCCAGCATTTCGTCCCCACCCCATTCACCTCTAGCTGCAGCCGCACTGAGTCCGTGCCAATCCCCCCTCGACCACCACCAGCCCTCCCCGCCCCCTCTCCTCCTGCTCCCCCCTCCCCCTCCCCCGCGTCCCTCCCCTCCCCCAGCGCCGCCTGCCTCTCCGCCTCCTCTGCTGCCAGCCGGGCCAGGCGCCGCCGATTCGCCAGCTGGCAGCTGGTGGGGTTGTGCGGGTAGGAGGAGAAGAGGTAGTGGGGCGGGGAGGTAAGGGGAGGAGGGCGGGCGAGGAGGGAGAGGGGTGATGGGATGTGTGAGGGAGGAGAGATATGAGGTGCTGGGAGAGGGTGGGTGATGGCATGGTGACAGGATAGGGCACAGGATGGCATGAGAGGTGGTGACAGAATCAAGACGTGTGAAGGGAGGGGTCTCACAATCCCTCCTCCGTGCACCCCTATGAACTCACGCGATGCCACGGGGCAGGCGCAGCTTGAGGCCGCGGTAGAGCCCCTCCTTGCCCTCCCTCGCCTGCTCGCCCAGCAGCGCCTTCAGCTGCCTCATCCACCCCCTCCACCACGGGTGCGCCGCCCGAAAGGCCGCCAGAATCTGATGCGCGGGTAGGGGGCGGGTGAAAGGGGTGAGACACGAGGGGATGAAGAAGGCGAGTCTCACTCACTCTCTGGACTCCCCACTCCCACACCTTCGATAACCTGCTCTGCTCCGCCAATACTAGGAGTGATGCAACCATCCAACATCCCACCATGCATTCACTCATGCTGCTCATGCAAGCGCTGTCCCCTCCAGGCAAAGCTGCTTCCCGTGCATCACCGTTCCTGCCCGCTCAACCACTTCCCCACGTCTCACTCACCCACACCCATCCGTGCCGCTGACATGCCTCACCCGCATCTATACATTTGAAGCACCACCTGCTCACTCTGCCGCTTGCCACCCCAAGCGCCTGCCCAACCTAAGCCCTTGCGCAGCCCACGCCCCTGCCAGCCCACGCCCCTGCCTGCTCAACCCACCCGCTCATTCTTGTCAATCGCCCACATAGACTGGGACACCATGGGCAGCGCAACTTCCAGGAACTTGCTGGCATTGTCAGCCTTGTCCCACAGGTACGCCCTGGCCAGTCGCACCTCCACCAGCTTCCACCACACCGCCCCGCCCCTCCTCCCCCCCGCCCCCTCGCCTGCCCCACCCACTGCGCTGCCCTCCGGAATGGCAGAAGAGCGTGTGGCAGCAGAAGCCCCCCCCTGAGATCCTCCCTGTGCTGCCTCTGCCCCTTCCTGCTGCCCCTCGCCCCCCCGCTGCTCGCCCCCCCCAGGCCCCTCCAGCACAGCCGCTGCCTCTGGCAGGCGCCCCGCGAGGGCGCGCAGAGGAGAGGTGCAGGCGGGGGTGGGGCAGCCACGGCATGCACGCCACCACTGGGGGGCGGGGAGGGGCGAGCAAGGGAGGAAGAGAGACGAGCGGAGAGCATGTGTTAGGGAGAGAAGAGGGGAGAGTGGAAGGAAAGGGAAAAGGTCGAGGGAGGTGAGGCCTGGTAAGGAGAGGTGATGAACGGTGGCAGGTGCAGGTGAGGCAAGAAAGTGATGGGGGAGGAGAAACGTGGGCAGCGGGGAAGAGGAAGTGCAGTGCAGGTGCATGGTGGCGGTCGGGATGGACAAGGTGCTGCGAGAGACAAGACAGCGCAGACGGAAGGTGGCGGTGGATTAGTAGAGAGTGGTAGTGGAGGGAAGAGAGTGTAAAGGAGGGAAGAGAGTGTAAAGGAGGGAAGAGAGTGTAAAGGAGGGAAGAGAGTGTAAAGGAGGGAAGAGAGTGTAAAGGAGGGAAGAGAGTGTAAAGGAGGGAAGAGAGTGCAAAGGAGGGAAGAGAGTGTAAAGGAGGGAAGAGAGTGTAAAGGAGGGAAGAGAGTGTAAAGGAGGGAAGAGAGTGTAAAGGAGGGAAGAGAGTGCAAAGGAGGGAAGAGAGTGTAAAGGAGGGAAGAGAGTGTAAAGGAGGGAAGAGAGTGTAAAGGAGGGAAGAGAGTGCAAAGGAGGGAAGAGAGTGTTAAGGAGGGAAGAGAGTGTAAAGGAGGGAAGAGAGTGTAAAGGAGGGAAGAGAGTGTTAAGGAGGGAAGAGAGTGTAAAGGAGGGAAGAGAGTGTAAAGGAGGGAAGAGAGTGTAAATGAGGGAAGAGAGTGTAAAGGAGGGAAGAGAGTGTAAAGGAGGGAAGAGAGTGTAAAGGAGGGAAGAGAGTGTAAAGGAGGGAAGAGAGTGCAAAGGAGGGAAGAGAGTGTAAAGGAGGGAAGAGAGTGTTAAGGAGGGAAGAGAGTGTAAAGGAGGGAAGAGAGTGCAAAGGAGGGAAGAGAGTGTAGAGAGTGTAAAGGAGGGAAGAGAGTGTTAAGGAGGGAAGAGAGTGTAAAGGAGGGAAGAGAGTGCAAAGGAGGGAAGAGAGTGCAAAGGAGGGAAGAGAGTGTTAAGGAGGGAAGAGAGTGTAAAGGAGGGAAGAGAGTGTAAAGGAGGGAAGAGAGTGCAAAGGAGGGAAGAGAGTGTAAAGGAGGGAAGAGAGTGCAAAGGAGGGAAGAGAGTGTAAAGGAGGGAAGAGATTGCAAAGGAGGGAAGAGAGTGTTAAGGAGGGAAGAGGGTGTAAAGGAGGGAAGAGAGTGCAAAGGAGGGAGAGAGGGGGAATGCCGAGGATGGAGATGGAAAGGAACAAGCAGGGGTGCGGGCAAACACAGATGCAAGCGCATGCGCAGGAGCGGCAGAAAGGTGCAGAGAGATGCAGAGAGATGCAGACACTTGCGTATGCATGTGCATGCCCCATTTCGCTTCACACAGAAACAAAGGGGACAAAACTACATGCACACTCCACCCCTCTCCTCCCAAACACTGACACTGGAAGAAGGACGCGAAAATATCTCCCCCCCTCACACACAGAACACACCCCTCCCAGGACCCCAGGCACCGCGCCACGTGCGCCCCTAGATTCCACTGCCCATGCGCGCCCGCAGCCTGCGATGACAGCTTGCGCACCTCTGTGCAGAATGAGCACGGCTTCATCCACGCGCCCAGCAGCAGCACACGCCGCTCCCAGCTTCACCCACACCGCCGCCCGCCCCTCCACCTCCTGCCATACCGCCTCTGCTCCTCCCCCTCGCCCATCTGACGCTGTCGCTGCCCCACCAGCCTCTGAATCAGCGGCAACACCCCCAAGAACCCCCGCAGCAGCATCCGCAGCGGCGGCAGCAGCAGCAGCGAGTGCCACGTCATCCCAGTGGCAGCAAAGCGGGCGGTAGAAGCGGACAGCATCTGCCGCCCGGCCGACAGCCATGAAGCCATCACCTGCCTCTGTGAAGAGGTCTGCACAGTCCCCTGCGCTCTCCTGCTCCAGCGCCTGCAGGTATGGCTGCAGGAGGGCCGGAGAGGGGAGGGGGAAGAAGAGGGATGTCAGTATCAGGGAAAAGTAAGGTGGTAAATTATGACTACCAAATAGTGCTGGTTGGGTAGATCGGGCTAGAACACCTAGAATTCTCTCAACAGGGCTTCGTAGACGAATGATGCGACTCCCTTGGAATGTGGCACCAGGTAGAGCTGCAGGGGGGAAGGTGGGGGAGTGAGGTGGCAATGATGATTTGCTGGCCTGCAAGGGCCTCCTTTCGAGCTCGTTCAGACACTGCCATGGGCATGGGTGCAAGCACAACTACCGCCACCTGCTGCCTCTGCCGCGCCTCACCTGTGCATCTCTGAGTCGGCCCACGCCCAGGCGCACGAGGCAAGGCACACACTCTCCTTGGCGCCCAGGTCTACCGGCAGGGCAGAGCGCAGGGCGGCGCACACAGTAGAGCACACGGCAGAGGAAAGGGCTCACCTGAGCGTCTGTGAGTCGCCCCAGGCGCACGAGGCACGTGCCCGCCTTGGCGCCCAGGTCCACCGGCAGGGCCTCCCCGGGACACAGCGACGCCCGCGCCCGCTCCACCACAGCCAGCGCTTCCTGGAAGCTTCCCTTGGTGATGTAGAGCTCGGCGAGAATGTTGACCGCCGTGAGGTCGAGCGGGGCGGCGGGGGCAGTGGAGGAGAGGAGCGACTGGAGGACCTCGATGGCCTTGTCTGATTGGTCGATGCGGTGATACATCTGGAAGGGTGGGAAGGGGGGGAGGGGTCGCAGGATGGTGGGGGAAGGAAGGCACTGTGAGGCCGCTGCAGTGATGTATGGGCGTGAGCACAGCATGCATAGAGAATCAGCACACGTCCATCCACTTCACACAATCGCATGCCAGGCAAGGTGGCCAGGTCCTGCAATGCCACACCCACTCTCAACGCATCTCACCCGCGCCAGCATCTTGCACACCTCCCCATCCGCCTCCCGCTGCCCGTCCGCCTCCCTGTGGGCGCGCATGAGCTCGAGAGCAGCCGCCGCCCGCCGGTAGTCCCCCGCCTCCGCCAGCAGCAGCGCCTGCTCCCACCTCGCCTCCACGTCCGATGGGTCCCGCCGCACCACCTGGCGGGGATGGACGGGGAGGGGGGGTGGGGGTGGGAAGAGCGGGTGGAGAGACGAGCTGCAGGTGGGCAGCAAATATCGGCTCCGCCCGGCAGCAGCAGCACCTGCTCCCCCCGCGCCTCCACGTCGGAGAGGTCCCGCCGCACGACCTGGTAAGGGCGGGTGAGGAGCAGGGGGACGTGAGAAAAGGGTGTGGTGTGGTAATAGTGGAGGAGGGGAGGACGAGAGACGAGGCGCAGGTGGGCGGCAATGGTGGGCTCCACTCCACCTGGCAGCAGCAGCACCTGGCCCTGCCTTGCCTCCACACCCACGTGGGAGTGAGGTGCAGCGTGTCGGAGGGGTGGGGGGAGTAGAATGTGAGGGTAGCGGGGGGGAGGAGAGCGGGGGGGAGGAGAGCGGGGGGGAGGAGAGCGGGGGGGAGGAGAGCGGCAGGGGAAGCAGCAGTGCCCCTGGCGACATGAGACAGGCAGGGCAGAGCAGTGAGGTGTGGGAGGGGAGGTGTGAGGGGAGAAACGAGAGGGTGGAGACCAAAAGGAGTAGAGAGAAGACATGGAGGGGAAGAGCAAAAGTGGGAGAGTGGAGTATGGAGTGGGGAGTACCTTGGAGAGGCAGTAGAGCGACTGAGATGGGTTGCCCAACTCCCTGCAGCGCACAGGAAGAGTCACGCATGGGAGGTGGGAGAATGGAGAGGAATGAAGCGTGCCAATCACAGGAAAGGAGCAACGCGATAACTATCACCTGCTCACTCTCTCCCCTCCCCCCTCCCCACCCCAGTCCAAACCATCCCCATGCATGCTCTCTCCTCCCCCACCCCTTCCCCCCTCGCCTCTCTCACAGCGACCAGGCAGCAAGGCGGCGCCACAAGGCGGTGTCCTGCAGGGTGATGTGAGCAGCGATCATGCTCAGGTTCACCGCCTTCCGCCGCTCCCCCATGGCGTCGTACACGAGCGCCAGCGTCTGGTAGCTGTCGGGCACGGCAGGGGCCTCCCGTATCACCGCCTCCAGTAGAGGGATGGCCTGGCGGGCAGGGGCGGGACGGGTGGTGCAGTGGCGCATGGTGAACATCAGCAGTGGCTTGTGGTGAACATCAGCAGTGGCTTGTGGTGAACATCAGCAGTGGCTTGTGGTGAACATCAGCAGTGGCTTGTGGTGAACATCAGCAGTGGCACCGCCGGCTAGTGAAACGTAATATGGGCTGTGCTTGACTCTCTCGCCCTCCTCCACAGCGTTGTTAGCTTGCCCTGCCACTCGTCCCTCAGCCTGCCCTGGCAGCAGGAGATCAACACAAGCTGCCCTGCCGCCTCCTGCCGTTCATCCATCAAGCCTCCGCTGCTACCCCGAACTCTTTCATGCTGAATGAGGGAGATCACAATGCTGAATGAGGGAGATCACAATGCTGAATGAGGGAGATCACAATGCTGAATGAGGGAGATCACAATGCTGAATGAGGGAGATCACAATGCTGAATGAGGGAGATCACAATGCTGAATGAGGGAGATCACAATGCTGAATGAGGGAGATCACAATGCTGAATGAGGGAGATCACAATGCTGAATGAGGGAGATCACAATGCTGAATGAGGGAGATCACAATGCTGAATGAGGGAGATCACAATGCTGAATGAGGGAGATCACAATGCTGAATGAGGGAGATCACAATGCTGAATGAGGGAGATCACAATGCTGAATGAGGGAGATCACAATGCTGAATGAGGGAGATCACAATGCTGAATGAGGGAGATCACAATGCTGAATGAGGGAGATCACAATGCTGAATGAGGGAGATCACAATGCTGAATGAGGGAGATCACAATGCTACCCACGGCCCACCTCGCTTCCTCACTCCTCGCTCCTCCCTCTGGAAAAGGCTGCCCTGTCGGTTATACTCACTGGAACTGCTCTATCGCCTTGCTCCTCTCCACGCTCGCCTTTTAAGTTCGCCCTTCCGCCCCCCACCTCGCTGTGGTGTCCCCTCGCCGTAGCATCCTCCACCTCGCTGCACCGCTGCTAACCTCTCTGCACCGCAGCTCACCTGGCTGTAGCGCCCCATGGCGTACATGAGGTTGGCATCGCCCAGCCGTGCCACCACCTCGGGCGACAGGCGCGCCGACCCCTTGGGCCGCCCCCGCTTGCGCAGCTGCCAGGGGGGTGTGGGGCGAGGAGGGGGGATGGGGGGGGGGAGGGGGGGGTGTGGGTGATGATGTTGTGACGAGGGCACGGAAGAAATCACAAGCACGGGGGAGAAGGGCCAGCATAGGGAGAGCGTGGGGAAAGCGTGGGGAGAGCGTGGGGAGAGCACGGGGAGAGCACGGGGAGAGCGTGTGAACGGACGGACCAGTTTCCTTCGCTTGCGAGACGGCGCCGTGGCGGCCTCCCAGATCTCGTCCATGCTAGCTCCAAACAACGCCGCCCGTGCCGCCCCTCCTCCCCCTCCTCCTCCCTCGTCACTGCTGACCCCGCTGTCCCCCTGTGTGCAGCGGCGCCTGTGTGGTGGGAAGAGGAGGAGGCGGGGAGCGAGGGGCGGGAGGGGGGAGGAGCGAGGGGCGGGAGAGGGGAGGAGCGAGGGGCGGGAGGGGGGAGGAGTGAGGGGCTGGAGTGGGGATGAGTGAGGGACGGGAGGGGGTGGATGGAGGGATGGGAGGGGAGAGGAGCGAGGCAGAGGTTGGAGATTGGAGTGCAGAGAAGAGAGGTTCATGGAAAGAGAGGGGGAGAGGAGAGAGGAAAAAGGGAGGACGAATGTAGAGAGGGCAGCGGGAAAGCGAAGGCGACAATGGAGAGGGAGACGCAGGAGAAGTGGAAGAAGAGAGGAGGTTTGAAGGGTGGAAGGAAGAGCAACGGATGAGCAAAAGGGCAGGGATGAGCGGCCCACACACCTTCTCCTCTGCTGTCGCATCTCTCCCTCCTCACCCTCGTCCACCCACCCTGCAGCGCCCCCCACGTCCCCCTGCCCCCTGTCGCCCCCTGCGCCGCGCCCCCAGTGGGAGAGGGTTTTCAGCGCCAGAGCGGGGTTGCGCTGGGCCGCTGATAGCGCCGCCACAGACGCCACTGCCGCAGCGCCACCAGCCATCCATGCGCCCAGCGCACCGCCCTCCCCCTCCTCCTCGCCCTCGCCTGATGTGCCGCGCTTCACTCCCCTTCCCCTGCCCCTCCCTCTCCCCCGCCCCCTCCCCATCCCTCTGCCCCTCCCTCTGCCCCACCCCCTGCCTCTCCCCCGTCCCCTCCCTGCACCCACATTATCCCACTGCCCCTCCCCGCCCTCCTCGCCCCCCTCCCCTTCCGCAGCACCACCTGCATCCCCACTGCTCTCCCCTCGACCCGTCCCCTTCCCCCTCCCCATCCCTCTGCCTCTTCCTCTTCCCCTCCCCCTGCCCCTCCCGCTTTCCTTGCCGCCACCTGTCTCCCCTTCTCCTCCACTTCCCCTCGGCCTTCCCCTCCCTCTGCCCCTGCCTTCACCCCTCCCCCCCCTCCCCCTTGCCCTTCCCCGCCCTCTTCCGTGTCCCCGTCCCATCACATCGCCTTCCAGTCTCTCCTCGCTCATCCCCTCCCCTCTCCCCTCTGCTGCTGCCCCCCCCTCGCTCCACGCCTGCGCGCCTGCACCATCGCGCCGTTGCAACTGCTCCCCGCGCCCCTGCTGTGGCCCGCTCTCCTCGCCCTCCCCGTCCTCCGAGTCCCCCTGCACGCTGCTCGACTCCGGCGCCCAGTCTGAATCCTCCCCTTCCTCCTCATCCGTTTCTTCCCCCTCTTCCTCCTCATCCTCTTCTTCTTCCTCCTCCTCGTCCTCCTCATTTCTCCTCTCGTCCTTCTCACCCTTCTCACCCGCCTCACCCTTCTCTCCCGCCTCACCCTTCTCGCCCCTGTCATCTTCATCTTCTCGTACACCACCTGTCTCGTCGCCCTCCAATTCCTCCTCTTCATCCTCTTCCTCCTCCCCTTCTTCAACCTCGTCATCTTCTTCCTCCTCGTACGCGATATTGTCAGCCTCGTCATCAATCACCTCCTCCAAGTCAGCCACTTCTTCCAAATCCCCTTCCTCCATCGCCCCCAGGTCCCCCCCCTCCCCCTCACGCTCTCCCTCTCCCTCCCGCTCTCCCTCTCCCTCCTGCTCCATCGCCACGTCATCATCGTGCCACGCGTCAAGCGGACCGGTGTCGTCGCCGTCCTCGTCGATGCGTGTGGGGCCCACACCCCCCCAACCCCCCACACTCGCCATCCCGCCTGCGCTTGCGCGCATGCGCCACTCCCCCGAGCGGCCCTCTGTCGCTGCGCGAGAACTCCCCGCAGCTCGTCTCATGCCGTGCGGTGGCCGCGATTCAGCGCGAGTGCCGCGGGGTTGCTGCGGGAGAAGTGGACGCGTGGAGGGCACGGCAGCGCAAGACGCTTTCAGTAACGCAAGGGAATTTCAGTTACGCGCGTTGTTCGTTGGTAACACTGTGGCAGGGTGTTACTGTACGCGCGTGACATGGTAACACACAACGACATGACATCATGTCCCGAGTGGCGCAACGTTGTGAGTAGTGACGTCATGTTTGTACGAACACAGGTTCCGCAGCGCGGATGTCCTGCATCCTTGAACGTGAGAGGAAATCGTACGCGGAAAGAGCAACCTCTTTTAATCGTAGCAGGACAAAGAAATCAATCGCATTTTAAAGTGCTGCATGTACATCAGTGTTCATATATTCTGAGACCTAACCTAAACCATTTAAATTCCTAGACACTGCTGATTTTCAGCCCTTTTTTTTTACAATGAAATCATCCCTGACATCTCTACTTTCTCCTAAATGATGAGCAATATCAAGAAAAGGAGAGTGGGGTGAATGCTCAATCGGTTTGAGCAACGACAGGAGGGTCTTGGGTAGGCAGCTGCACCCACACAAACTCCTCCACATACCCCATGCTCCGCTCTTGCAAGCCCTCCCCCTGCCCTGCTGCCTCGCAGCCTTTCACGTCCCCACTGCCTGCATCTCTGCTGCCCGTTGCACTGCTGCTTCCCTCCGCACTTGCCCCCACTACTGTTGCTTCAACTCCTGAATCCACACTTTTTGGGACAGCAACACTACTCTGCTGTGCGGTGCTGAGCTGTGAAGAGCAGCAGCAGGAGTTGGGGCAGACGTAGACTGCCAACGTGGCGAAGTCGAGCGTTGAGTCAGCAGTAGCGTCAGGCGCACTGTAGTATATGATTTGCGGGAGCACCTGGGGGGGAGGCGGGAAGGGGGGAAGAGGGGAAGCAAGGGATGTGTTTTGAAGCGTGAGAGTGCAGCAGCGGCAACGCTTGCAGCGTGGGTGGCTTGGGTTGGGGGAGTGCATGGAGTGACGGATGTGGGTAGGCAGCACGGACGGCAGGTGGAACAGGGTACTCGGAGGAGAAGGGGGAGGTGAGTGCAGCAGCATGGATGGAGGAGAAGGGGGAGGTGAGTGCAGCAGCATGGATGGAGGAGAAGGGGGAGGTGAGTGCAGCAGCATGGATGGAGGAGAAGGGGGAGGTGAGTGCAGCAGCATGGATGGAGTGGAGAGGAGAGGGATGAGCGTGCTTGAGCAGCCAGTACAGGATGACCGGCGGTGATTGCAGGCTGGTGGGCAGGCGCGCGGTGAGTGAGGCAGTGAGTCCCCCCCCCCACTCACTCCCTTTCAGCATCAGGCTGGTGCAGCAAAGGCATTGAAGGAACCCCATGGTGGAAGGGGCGGAGGAAAAGACTTCCCTCGTATCACACACTTCCACCTGAACGCACTGGGGTAACCCACCTGAGAATCCACCTGAGCGCACCTGGAACTCGAATATCCTGGGAGCACCACAGCCGCCACAGGGGGGAATGGCAGTCTGGCTGGGCGGCTGCCCCTGCAGCTGCGGCCACAGCGGACGGGCGGTGGCTGATCGGCAGTATCTGAGAGGGGGAGATACGGGGAGGGAGGAGGACAGAAGAAAGTAGGGAGGAGAGGGGAGGGGAAGGGAAGGGAGGAGGGAGGGGGAGGATGGCTGGTGAGGACAGGTGTGCGAGACAGAGAGCAGGAGGCATGGGCAGCGAAAGGGGTTGTGGGAGGGAGATGGCAAGATGCAGCAGCTCTCTTGCACATTCGTGCATGCACACACGTGTGCGTGAGTGTGTGCGTGGGTGTGTGTGTGCGCGTGCGTAGATGTGTGACTGAACTCTTGTTCACACATATTCCAGGTAATTTTACTGTTGTTTCGCGTCAGCAAGCTTTTGCAATTGTTTGATCACAGAACTACTGAGGTTCTGCGTTTGAGGGGGCTGGTATGATGTGTTGTGGGTGTGACGGGTCTGGTTGTGTGTATGACGGGGCTGGGAAGTTGTGCGTCTTTTAGTATGTGTCCTGAATTTGAAAGGGGCAATTGCAAATCACCAGATGATTAGGTGCATTGGCAATCACCTGATCACTTGTTCAGGTGCATTGGCAATCACCTGATCACTTGTTCAGGTGCATTGGCAATCACCTGATCACTTGCTCAGGTGCATTGGCAATCACCTGATCACTTGCTCAGGTGCATTGGCAATCACCTGATCACTTGCTCAGGTGCATTGGCAATCACCTGATCACTTGCTCAGGTGCATTGGCAATCACCTGATCACTTGCTCAGGTGCATTGGCAATCACCTGATCACTTGCTCAGGTGCATTGGCAATCACTTGATCACTTGTTCAGGTGCCTTGGCAATCACCTGATCACTTGTTCAGGTGCCTTGGCAATCACCTGATCACTTGTTCAGGTGCCTTGGCAATCACAGCCTGAAACGCGGCCCATTGCTTCTTCTCCACATCCGCTCCCTGAAATACCCACCATGCCACACCACACCATGCCATGCCATACCGCACCATGCCACACCGCACCACACCATGCCACACCGCAACGAGGGGGCATTGAGAGGAAGTGCAATGAGAGGAAAGGGACGCAGCTTTCTTTGTACCCAATCAAAAAAGGAGGGATGGAATTGGCGGGAGCAGGTGGGACGTGGGCGGGTAGGTGGGTGGGAGAGTGGTTGGGTGGGTGGTGGGTGGGTGGTGGGTGGGTGGTCAAGCAGGGCTGTGAGGCGCAGCGAGAGGGAAGCGGGAGTGCGGCTCGTACTGGGAAGGCAGAATGGAAGGGTTGGGCAATGAGAGTACAGGGAGCCAACGGGACACGTGGGGGCGGAGAGAGTGACACAGTGAGGCAGGGGAATGAAAAGGCAAGGTCGCAATGACGAACAAACTCGGCACTGATACTAGAGTCACCATTCACCACACCGCGCCCACCCCAACCCATGCCCAACCCATGCCCACCCCATGCCCACCCCATGCGCACTCCATGCCCACCCCACCCCATGCGCACTCCATGCCCACCCCACCCCATGCGCACCCCATGCACACCCCATGCGCACCCCATGCGCACCCCATGCGCATGCGCACCCCTTCCCCATCCACAGGAGGGCCTTACCTCTCCGAAGCCTTCCAGCTCGCTGGCAGCGATGGGCCCCTCCGCCCTGGTGCGCTCCCGATACTCCCTCATCAGCCGCCGCACCTCCGCCCCCCCGGGCCCCACCGCCGCCCCCTTTTCCCCTCCACTCCCCCCCTCTCTCCCTGCCTCCTCTCCCTCCTCTCCCTCCCCCCCCTCCTCCCCATCCTCTCCCTCCTCCGGCTCCTCCTCCTCCACCACCATCTCCCACTCCTTCCACCCGCCCTTGTCCAACACCGTCACTCTCCAATCCGCTTCTGACACGTCATTCCCTGCACCCCTTGCTGACTCAGCATCTTCTGACGTGGGAGGTATCCTTGCTGCTGACGTGTCGGTGCCAGGAGGATGGGACGGGGCAGAAGGAGCAGCGGCAGCAGGCGGAGGAGTGAGAGGAGCAGAGGAGGCAGCACTGGAGGGGGCAGCACTGGAGGGGGCAGCACTGGAGGGGGCAGCACTGGAGGGGGCAGCGGTGGAGGGGGCAGCGGTGCAGGGGGCAGCGGGTGGGGAGGTGGCAGAGGTGGGAGGTGGGGTGCGGGGGCAGGCAGCGCTGTGGCCCGCCCGCCAGTGCTCCTTCTGATGGGCCCAGGGGCGTTGGGAAGGTGGTGATGACGTGCCAGGAGGATAGCGGGAGGGACACAGGGAGCGGAGAGGGAAGAGAAGAAGATGAGTGCACAAAGGTGTGGTGTGGTTTGAGTTGAAAGCAGGGAGGCGTGGTGGAAGGGCAGGGAGGCGTGGTGGTTTGAAAGAATGAAGTCAGGACATCCAACTCCTGACCTCCCAACGGCACCATGCAGGAAAGGGGGAGAAGGAACGGTGTGATGCTGTGATGGTTGTAAAACAGCATGGGAGGAGGCAAGACACGGCGGGCGAACCTGGTGGTCCTTGCTGCAGTAAGCGACCTGCCCACCTGGTGGTCCTTGCTGCAGTAAGCGACCTGCCCACCTGGTGGTCCTTGCTGCAGTAAGCGACCTGCCCACCTGGTGGTCCTTGCTGCAGTAAGCGACCTGCCCACCTGGTGGTCCTTGCTGCAGTAAGCGACCTGCCCACCTGGTGGTCCTTGCTGCAGTAAGCGACCTGCCCACCTGGTGGTCCTTGCTGCAGTAAGCGACCTGCCCACCTGGTGGTCCTTGCTGCAGTAAGCGACCTGCCCACCTGGTGGTCCTTGCTGCAGTAAGCGACCTGCCCACCTGGTGGTCCTTGCTGCAGTAAGCGACCTGCCCACCTGGTGGTCCTTGCTGCAGTAAGCGACCTGCCCACCTGGTGGTCCTTGCTGCAGTAAGCGACCTGCCCACCTGGTGGTCCTTGCTGCAGTAAGCGACCTGCCCACCTGGTGGTCCTTGCTGCAGTAAGCGACCTGCCCACCTGGTGGTCCTTGCTGCAGTAAGCGACCTGCCTGCACCCCCCACAGCGCTTGCTGCCCCTCCACGTGCCACACCACTCGCACATGGGCACTGGCGGTGGAGGGAGGGGAGGCAGGGACTTGAGCCACAAGGGGAGAAGTCAAGCAGGCAGTGGCACGCAGGAGCAGCCACTCAGCAACCACACAGCAGCCACACAGCAACCACACAGCAACCACACAGCAACAATACAAAAGCGATACAGCATGCATAGTGCATCGATAGATTAATCGGACGGTGGGAAGAGGGGAGTGGGGAGAAGGTTAGGGCGAGCAAGGAGATGCATGCACAGCATGGGAGGGCGAGAAGAAGGAAGGAGTGAGGAGCGGAGGCGGCGGGAAGATGATGGGGGGGGGAGATGACGGGGGGGGGAGAGGACGGGGAGGGGAGATGACGGGGGGGGGAGAGGACGGGGAGGGGAGAGGACGGGGAGGGGAGAGGACGGGGAGGGGAGAGGACGGGGAGGGGAGAGGACGGGGAGGGGAGAGGACGGGGAGGGGAGAGGACGGGGAGGGGAGAGGACGGGGAGGGGAGAGGACGGGGAGGGGAGAGGACGGGGAGGGGAGAGGACGGGGAGGGAGAGGACGGGGAGGGGAGAGGACGGGGAGGGGAGAGGACGGGGAGGGAGTGACCTTGGTGGGAGAGTGACCTTGGTGGGAGAGTGACCTTGGTGGGAGAGTGACCTTGGTGGGAGAGTGACCTTGGTGGGAGAGTGACCTTGGTGGGAGAGTGACCTTGGTGGGAGAGTGACCTTGGTGGGAGAGTGACCTTGGTGGAGAGTGACCTTGGTGGGAGAGTGACCTTGGTGGGAGAGTGACCTTGGTGGGAGAGTGACCTTGGTGGGAGAGTGACCTTGGTGGGAGAGTGACCTTGGTGGGAGAGTGACCTTGGTGGGAGAGTGACCTTGGTGGGAGAGTGACCTTGGTGGGAGAGTGACCTTGGTGGGAGAGTGATGACCTTGGTGGGAGAGTGACCTTGGTGGGAGAGTGACCTTGGTGGGAGAGTGACCTTGGTGGGAGAGTGACCTTGGTGGGAGAGTGACCTTGGTGGGAGAGTGACCTTGGTGGGAGAGTGACCTTGGTGGGAGAGTGACCTTGGTGGGAGAGTGACCTTGGTGGGAGAGTGGTGTCCCCGGTGCATCCGGGGGGGGCGGGGTGAAGGCGTAGAAGGGGTTGGCGCGCGGCAGCTGGGTGCGCAGCACACACACACTGTGGGCGGGCGATGTATGGTGCATGGGCAGGGCATGGTGCATAAGGGGGGCATGCAAGCACGCATTCCATGCAAGCACGCATTCCATGCAAACACACATTCCATGCAAACACACATTCCATGCAAGCACACATTCCATGCAAACACACATTCCATGCAAACACACATTCCATGCAAACACACATTCCATGCAAACACACATTCCATGCAAACACACATTCCATGCAAACACACATTCCATGCAAACACACATTCCATGCAAACACACATTCCATGCAAACACACATTCCATGCAAACACACATTCCATGCAAACACACACTCCATGCAAACACACACTCCATGCAAACATACACTCCATGCAAACACACATTCCATGCAAACACACATGCATTCACATTTGAACATGCACATGTGAATAAACAGAAAGGATGGATCAGACTCGTATGCAAGCACGCATTCACTTTCACAATTACTTATGACGATAAACCACCGAGACGAGACGCGTGCAGCACATAAAGAGGTGTTTCCAAACAACAAGCCACTGCTATGCTGACATGGACACGCTTCCAACAAAGAAAACTCCCTCACTCCTCGTTCCCCCAACCCCACCCGCTCACCTTCGTCTCCTTTCCCTTGCTCTGCCGTCCGCCACCTCTGCCTGCTCCTGCTGGTGGCGCGAGAGGCAGTGGTGGTGGCGGCAGGCGAAGAGGAAGAGCGTGCGGTGGAAGGCTGACGCCTCGCTGTCCACCGGCGAGTACACCTGCACGGGGGAGAGGGGGAAGAGGTGGGTGGGCAAGGAGTGTGAGTGAGATGAGGAGTGTGAGTGAGATGAGGAGTGTGAGTGAGATGCGGAGTGTGAGTGAGATGCTGAGTGTGCATGAGATGCGGAGTGTGCGTGAGATGAGATGCGGAGTGTGCGTGAGATGAGATGCGGAGTGTGCGTGAGATGAGATGCGGAGTGTGCGTGAGATGAGATGCGGAGTGTGCGTGAGATGAGATGCGGAGTGTGCGTGAGATGAGATGCGGAGTGTGCGTGTGATGAGATGCGGAGTGTGCGTGAGATGCGATGCGGAGTGTGCGTGAGATGAGATGCGGAGTGTGCGTGAGATGCGATGCGGAGTGTGCGTGAGATGAGATGCGGAGTGTGCGTGAGATGCGATGCGGAGTGTGCGTGAGATGCGATGCGGAGTGTGCGTGAGATGCGATGCGGAGTGTGTGTGAGATGCGGACTATGAGTGGGAGGTGTGTGAGAGAGGAGCAGCAAACATGACCTGCAGCAGGAATCGCAGGGGCTGGGAGCAGAAGTGGCAGAGGAGGGCGTGTGACGGCAGGTTGAGCGGGTCCAAGTACGCCTTGGGGGGGGGGGGGGGGGGGGGGGGGGGGGGGGGTTCACAGCACAGGACATGCCAGCATGAAATGGACGGCATGAGATGGACGGCATGAGATGGGCGGCATGAGATGGGCGGCATGAGATGGATGGCATGCGATGGACGTCATGAGATGCTGCCAGCGCACATACATGCGTCCACATGCCATCACATGCCTCCATATGGCAAGGCACCCATTGTGCATCGAATGAGCTGGAGCCATGAGGCAGGGAGGCAGGGACAGCTTGACACAATGGCCAACGACCAGACTGAGAGCCATCAGGCCGTGCAAGCTGCCAAGGCAGCCGGCGCCAAGGCAGTGGCGAATGGGGAACAGACGGATCAGCACATACTGCCAGCTCCTGGGATTGCCACACGTGCCTTGGCACGCTCGCATCGCCAGAACGGCCCTCACATCGCATCATCTCATCTCATCGCATCTCACCCATCCGCCTCGCCTCACTCACCGGAGCGCCCCCAACTTTGCTGGGGAAGCGATGGCGGGCGAGCGACCAGTCGTGCGACGGCTTTTGCACGAAGCCTAGCAGCACCACGTCATCGCCACTGTCGCTCACGTCATCGTCATCGTCATCGTCATGGTCCTCGGCTTCCTCCTCGGAGCAGTCGGCAACATGGTCGTCAATCACTTCCGCGCAGCTCTGCTCCTCCACTGCTCCGCCATCCCCCGTTTCCTGTGCCATCTGTGCGCCGCTCTGCGGAACAAATGTGGTGCGAGAAACGCTACTTGCAGCAGTTGGCTTGAATGCCCACGTTTCTGCAGCTGTTGCAAGCACAGCGTATGGGACAGGAGAGGAAGGGGAGGGGGGTGTCCTAAAAGTTTTTATACCCTACACTGCACCTAAGGTTGGGTTATTGGGTTGCGTAGCAACCATTTAAAATTAATAGAACTCAGACAAACAGTGAAATTTTGTCTTTTGTCCCAAGCGCGGGAAGGGAGGTGATGAGCTGTTTGCCACGTGCACCTGGCAGGCATCAGCAAACGCAGCGCCTGTGCACACGATGACATGCACTTGTACGTGCGGCACGAGCATGCCTAGCGCCAACGAAAACAGAGCTTGCGTGCATGGGCCCACGCGCGTGCTCATGGCGCTAACACCTAGGCGCCATTGGCCTAGGGCGCAGCACATAAGGCGCGAGCATAGGGGCTGGCGCCTTAGGGTCGGCGCCCTAGGTTCAGCGCCTAGGCGCTAACGCCCCAGCCGCCATCGGGCTATGGAAAATGCGTCAGCGCCGCCTAGGCGCCCGCGCCCACCGCGCCCGCGCCCAATGGCGCCAGTGCCTTAGTCGCTCGTGCCAGCGCCTTAAGCGATCCCACGGCGTCAGCGCCTTAGGCGCCTGCGCCAGTGCCTTAGATGCCCGCGCCAGCGCCTTAGGCGCCTGCGCCCACTGTGCGAGCGCCTTACAAGGCGCCTGCGCGAGCGCCTCAGGCGCCCGCTCCCACGGCGCCAGCGCCCAGGGCGCGCTAGACGCCAGCATTATGCGCCAGCGCCCGCATGCTCGAGCGCGCTAGGTGTCCGCGCTAGGTTCTAACGGTCTAGGAGAGCGCTTCCTTACGGGCGCTCTTCTCAAGTTTCACTCCAATTCATCACGACGCTGACCATTTCACGGGCGTTCTTAACTCACAGGTATTCTCTTGGCGTACGTCACTGGCGTTTCACGAAAGCTTGTTCAAACGCTTGTCGCGGGCACTTCACTACGACGTCGACATCACCAACTAGCTTCTTGCATGCTAGGGATCGGGAAAGACTAGCAGGTTTAAGGTTTTGGGTTTTAACCTGATAGAACATTCTACACAAATTTTTAAGGGAAATTATGCGAATAGTAACTTTATATGGGGCTAAAAAACACTTAGTCACCGGAACATTGACTTTTTTCATGTATTTGGTAACTCGCTTAACGCGTTTGGTACTCTTTTTCATGCATCTGGTAACTCAATACCAGCAAATGGTCACGCGAATGGTAACTGGAAAAACACCCGCCTAAAACGATCATCGGTTGTGTTGTTGTAACTGAAGGATCGAAGTGGATAGGATAACAAAGTGACCTTGTACTGGAACAAGATGATTATAAGATAGGAGTACAAGGATATAAATAGCAATCCTAGCTAGCTATGTACTCTGAGGGGTACATTCCCTTCTTGACAGTTACCATGTTGCATCGCGTAACTACCAAGTGCGGTTACTGGACGGTCAAGAGTCACGACCGTTGACTGTCTTCGACTGGTGACCTTCGGGTGACTCTCGATCTTCCGCACGCTCTATATGAGCTATTGCGGTACTGATACAGACGCGTTGCTTCGTTATGGAGTGACGCGTGAGTGGAGAGCCTTCGGGAATGTTACGATAACCTTTCGGTTATTCCAACACTCCCCTTCATTCCTGAAGGTGAGCCACGTGGGATTTCTTCGAGATCCCGCAGAGGTCGGTGCATTGCTGAAACTTCTGACGTGGCAGCTTCTTGGTCAAGAAATCTGCTGCCATGTCACCAGTTGGGCAGTACGTGAATTTGACCTTGCCTTTGTCGATTTCGTCCTTGACGAAGAAGTAACGGAGTGCGATGTGTTTCGTGCGATTCACGAAGCCGGCCTTGTTCGCGATCTTGATCGCGCTCTGATTGTCGCAGAGTAACGTGAAGTGCACGTGCATCGTCACTTTCGCTTCCTGCAGGAGCTCCATCAGGTACAGTCCTTCGCGAACAGCTGCACTAGCGGCGATGAACTCAGCTTCGGCTGACGAAAGCGCGATGAGCTCCTGCTTCTGGGAGTTCCAAGAGATCAGTCCAGCAGGTTGGAGTTGAAAAATGAATCCAGTGCGGGAGCGTCTGTTGTCAATGTCTCTCGCGTGGTCTGCGTCAACGTAGCCATGAAGCTGCAGGGTAGCGGTTAGGTTGGCTTCATAGGTGAGCCCGACGTCAGGAGTAGAGACGAAGTATTGAAGTGCTCGGCGTAGATCCAGTAGATTCTCCCCTTCAGGTCGCTTCAGATACTGTGCGAGCTGGCTTGCGACGTAGGAGAGATCGGGCCGGCACGTGACGGCGGCGAACAGGAGGCACCCCAGCTGCTACTGATAGAGCCGATGATCTTCGACGGGGAGTGGTGTGGTGTCAGGTTTGTGGTTAGGAGGAGGAGTGCGGAAGGGGGTGGTGAGGTTGATTGGTGCGACGACAAACTTTTTCGCGAGTGTTTCCGCGTATTTGGCGGCGGAGAGGTGGAGGGAGGTGGCGGACTGGGTTATGTTGAGGCCCAGAAATTGCGTGACGTTATGGTTGATGGTTACTTCGAGCTTCTCCTTGATATCTGCCTCGAACCGATCCAGTAGCTCCGTGTCGTCGCCGGTGTAGAGTAGGTCGTCGACGTAGGCGGCAAGGAGAATGAACTTGCCGCGCGACTCCTTTCGATACATCCCGAGGTCATGCGGCAGCTGAGTAAATCCGAGCTCCGTTAGGACAGTGTGCAGGTACTGCTGCCACAGTCGAGGCGACTGTTTGATCCCGTAGAGGGATTTTTGGAGTAGGCAAACGGCGCCGTCGTTTTCTTCGAAGGCATTCGGCTGCTCGACGAAGATTATGGCGTCGACGGGGGCGTACATGAATGCACTGCCGGCGTCGATTTGGCGGAGCGGACGCCGCTTAACGGCTGCGATACAGATGAGGATGCGCACCGAGGTGTGCCTTCCGACAGGCGCGTAGGTGAGGTCGAAGTCCACCATGTGAGTTTGCTCGAAGCCGCGTACCACCCATCTTGCTTTGTATTTGTCGATGGAGCCATCTGCACGTGTTTTTATGCGAAAGACCCATTTGCCGCTAAGAATTTTCCTCCCCTTTGCTGATGATCGTGGAACCAGCTTCCACGTTCCGCGGCTCTTCAGCGCCGCAAATTCTGCTGCCATGGCTGCCTTCCACTTCTCACTGTCGGGGCCGGATAGAGCCTGGCGAACGGTGGTGGGTTCCTTAGGGAGGCGTGACGAACAGCGACTGCGAGCCCAAGGATGCGGAGACCAGTTTCGTTGGTCTTTTCGTAGTGGAGGCGATCGTAGTCGTGGAAGCTAGTAGCTTCGACGACGTCGTCGTCGCTGTCGTTGCCGATGCGGAGGGTGTCTTGCAAGGAGTTTGGAGGTGGTAACTCGGCATCCGGAGATCGGCGCGCTTCACTGTTGTAGTTGTGGGCTTCGCGAGTTGTATTGGCAGAATCGAATTGACGAACAGGTATGAATGTTGGAGTCTGGAGCGGGCTTGTAAGGGTGATGTTTGGATATGGATCGGATGGTGTGGTGTCCGCTACGTCTTCATCTTCTGTCAGGTCTGCTTCATCCTGTGACGTGGCGAAGCTACGGTGCCCCTCAAAAACCCGTTTCGGCGCCTTGTCAGCTTCGCGATGTTCCTTGAACAGTGGCAGAGTCAGCTTCTCGTAGAAGATGCAGGAGGTAAGTCGGGGAATGGTCTCTCCACTCTCCACTCTCCACTCTCCACTCTCCACTCTCCACTCTCCACTCTCCACTCTCCACTCTCCACTCTCCACTCTCCACTCTCCACTCTCCACTCTCCACTCTCCACTCTCCACTCTCCACTCTCCACTCTCCACTCTCCACTCTCCACTCTCCACTCTCCACTCTCCACTCTCCACTCTCCACTCTCCACTCTCCACTCTCCACTCTCCACTCTCCACTCTCCACTCTCCACTCTCCACTCTCCACTCTCCACTCTCCACTCTCCACTCTCCACTCTCCACTCTCCACTCTCCACTCTCCACTCTCCACTCTCCACTCTCCACTCTCCACTCTCCACTCTCCACTCTCCACTCTCCACTCTCCACTCTCCACTCTCCACTCTCCACTCTCCACTCTCCACTCTCCACTCTCCACTCTCCACTCTCCACTCTCCACTCCCTCACTCTCTCACTCTCCACTCTCCACTCTCCACTCTCCACTCTCCACTCTCCACTCTCCACTCTCCACTCTCCACTCTCCACTCTCCACTCTCCACTCTCCACTCTCCACTCTCCACTCTCCACTCTCCACTCTCCACTCTCCCTCTCCACTCTCCACTCTCCAACTCTCCACTCTCCACTCTCCACTCTCCACTCTCCACTCTCACTCTCCACTCTCCCACTCTCCACTCTCCACTCTCCACTCTCCACTCTCCACTCTCCACTCTCCACTCCTCCACTCTCCACTCTCCACTCTCACTCTCCACTCTCCCACTCTCCACTCTCCACTCTCCACTCTCCACTCTCCACTCTCCACTCTCCACTCTCCACTCTCCACTCTCCACTCTCCACTCTCCACTCTCCACTCTCCACTCTCCACTCTCCACTCTCCACTCTCCACTCTCCACTCTCCACTCTCCACTCTCCACTCTCCACTCTCCACTCTCCACTCTCCACTCTCCACTCTCCACTCTCCACTCTCCACTCTCCACTCTCCACTCTCCACTCTCCACTCTCCACTCTCCACTCTCCACTCTCCACTCTCCACTCTCCACTCTCCACTCTCCACTCTCCACTCTCCACTCTCCACTCTCCACTCTCCACTCTCCACTCTCCACTCTCCACTCTCCACTCTCCACTCTCCACTCTCCACTCTCCACTCTCCACTCTCCACTCTCCACTCTCCACTCTCCACTCTCCACTCTCCACTCTCCACTCTCCACTCTCCACTCTCCACTCTCCACTCTCCACTCTCCACTCTCCACTCTCCACTCTCCACTCTCCACTCTCCACTCTCCACTCTCCACTCTCCACTCTCCACTCTCCACTCTCCACTCTCCACTCTCCACTCTCCACTCTCCACTCTCCACTCTCCACTCTCCACTCTCCTCCACTCTCCACTCTCCACTCTCCACTCTCACTCTCCACTCTCCACTCTCCACTCTCCACTCTCCACTCTCCACTCTCCACTCTCCACTCTCCACTCTCCACTCTCCACTCTCCACTCTCCACTCTCCACTCTCCACTCTCCACTCTCCACTCTCCACTCTCCACTCTCCCCTCTCCACTCTCCACTCTCCACTCTCCACTCTCCACTCTCCACTCTCCCACTCTCCACTCTCCACTCTCCACTCTCCAGCTCTCTCCACTCTCCACTCTCCACCTCCTCCCACTCTCCACTCTCCACTCTCCTCTCCACTCTCCACTCTCCACTCTCCACTCTCCACTCTCCACTCTCCACTCTCCACTCTCCACTCTCCACTCTCCACTCTCCACTCTCCACTCTCCACTCTCCACTCTCCACTCTCCACTCTCCACTCTCCACTCTCCACTCTCCACTCTCCACTCTCCACTCTCCACTCTCCACTCTCCACTCTCCACTCTCCACTCTCCACTCCACTCTCCACTCTCCACTCTCCACTCTCCACTCTCCACTCTCCACTCTCCACTCTCCACTCTCCACTCTCCACTCTCCACTCTCCCACTCTCCACTCTCCACTCTCCACTCTCCACTCTCCACTCTCCACTCTCCACTCTCCACTCTCCACTCTCCACTCTCCACTCTCCCACTCTCCACTCTCCACTCTCCACTCTCCACTCTCCACTCTCCACTCTCCACTCTCCACTCTCCACTCTCCACTCTCCACTCTCCACTCTCCACTCTCCACTCTCCACTCTCCACTCTCCACTCTCCACTCTCCACTCTCCACTCTCCACTCTCCCTCTCACTCTCCACTCTCCACTCTCCACTCTCCCACGCCTCCACTCTCCACTCTCCACTCTCCACTCTCCACTCTCCACTCTCCACTCTCCACTCATCCAATCGCCACTCTCCACTCTCCACTCTCCACTCTCCACTCTCCACTCTCCACTCCCACTCTCCACTCTCCACTCTCCACTCTCCGACTCTCCACTCTCCACTCTCCACTCTCCACACTCTCCACTCTCCACTCTCCACTCTCCACTCTCCACTCTCCACTCTCCACTCCTCCACTCTCCACTCTCCACTCTCCACTCTCCACTCTCCACTCTCCACTCTCCACTCTCCACTCTCCACTCTCCACTCTCCACTCTCCACTCTCCACTCTCCACTCTCCACTCTCCACTCTCCACTCCTCCAACTCTCGCACTCTCCACTCTCCACTCTCCACTCTCCACTCTCCACTCGATCCACTCTCCACTCTCCACTCCTCCACTCTCCACTCTCCACTCTCCACTCTCCACTCTCCACTCTCCACTCTCCACTCTCCACTCTCCACTCTCCACTCTCCACTCTCCACTCTCCACTCTCCACTCTCCACTCTCCACTCTCCACTCTCCACTCTCCACTCTCCACTCTCCACTCTCCACTCTCCACTCTCCACTCTCCACTCTCCACTCTCCACTCTCCCTCTCCACTCTCCACTCTCCACTCTCCACTCTCCACTCTCACTCTCCACTCTCCACTCTCCACTCTCCACTCTCCACTCTCCACTCTCCACTCTCCACTCTCCACTCTCCACTCTCCACTCTCCACTCTCCTACTTTCTCATCCATGTCTCCTTCATTCGTACCCATCTCGCAGGGTGCTCCTTCACGACATGTCCTGCTCGCCACACGCCGCCTCCCTCACAGCCGCCCTCCTCTCCTCACTCTCCTCCCTCCCCTCCTCCTCCTCTTCCTCCTCCTCCTCCCCCACACCTACCCCTTTCTCTCTTGACCACGAGTCCTATCGTCTGCTCCTCCGCTCCTTCTACTCCCACAACCACCTCCCCCTCATCCCACCAACCGTAGCCAGCATGATTCAAGCAGGCTATCCCCTCAGCCAATGGGATGCCGCCATGTGGCTCGATGCCCTCGCTGCCCAGGGCGACGTTGCAGGGATCCGGACAGCTGTTGGGGAAATTTTGGCGCTCGGGCTGCCCGAGCCGGAAAGTTTTCGGATGGCCATGGTTCTGGGGTTGGCGAGAGCGGGGGAGATGGACCGAGCTTGGAGCGTGTTTGTCGGGGAGGGTGAGAGTGAGGGAGTGAGTGAGGGAGTGAGTGAGGGAGTGGCGAGCCAGGTTCCTCTGAAGCACGACGTGGAGGCGAGCAAGAGGGGCGTGGAGCCTAGTCTGTATGTGATGCTGGTGGAGGCAATGGTGGGGGCGGGGCGGATGAGACAGGCAGAGGCGGTGTGTGCGGAGTATGGGCGGGCCCACTTGGTCACTGTGCAGAGGTTCAAATATGGGGTGAGTTTAACTAGAGCAGCTGAACAAACCTATCCTCGGTGTTCACCTGCCGTGCCACATTGCCCTGCATCACCCTCTGCTCGTCCCTGCCTTGCTCCCTCAGTTTCCCCTCTCTCATCATCCTCCGTCCTCCCTCCTTCCTCCTCCTCCGTTCCCTACCTTACGCTCTTCTTCTTAGCCTCTTCCATTCTTGAAAGCCTGTCCCTCCTTTCTTCCCCCCCCCATCCTTCCCCACCCCCCTCCCCTCCCCCCCATCAGCGCCCCTACACTGTACTCCTGTCCGCCTACCTTCTGGCAGGCGATCTCTCGTCCTTTTCCCGCGTGTGGGCGGCAATGCGGGCAGGCGGCCGCCCGGCTGACAGCTACGCGCTTCGTCTGCTAGCCAAGGCCTGCGCGTCTGTGGGCGGGCTCCGGGGGCTGGCTGTGATGCTGTGGGCGGCAAGAGAGGGTCGGGAGAGGGAGGTGGGAGGGAGTGAGGGAGGGAGTGTGGGAGGGAGTGAGGAAGTGGATGGTCAAACGTGGGATGCTGCCGGGGCGAGAGGTGGAGCAAGTGTGGCAGTGGCAGAAGGCAGTATAACAGATGAAGCCGGTGCAGTCAGCGGTGCAGCAGCAGCGGCAGCAGCAGGAGGAGCAGGAGCAGGTGCAGCAGGTGTAGGAGGTGCGTGTGCAAGTGCAGCGTTGGCAGGATTACCAGAGCTGATAGACTCGATAGAGGTATCTCCAGAGGAGGTGGAGGCGGCAGAGAGGCAGTTCCCGGTGCTGGCAGGCGAGCTGAGGGCCAGTGACAAGGCGCTCAGGGTAGTTGTTAGATACCTGTTCAAGGATGCTGACGTGGCGGCTGGAGAGGATATCGCGCCTGCGGATGTGGCGTCTGGAGATGATGTAGCGTCTGCTGATGTGGCAGTGAGTGGGGAGAAGGTGGACGGTGGCGTGGTGGAGAGTGATGGGCATGGGGTGGTTGCGGCGGGAAGCGGATGGTCCGAGGAGCGTGTGGGTCTGCAGGCAGCAGCAGAGGAGGCTGTGTGTGTGCCAGCAGCAGCAGCGAGGGTGGTGGGTCCTGTGGGCGTGCAGGCAGCAGGATTGCCAGAGGTGGTGGTGGGTGGTGGAAGGAGCGAGGCGTCAGAGGAGGCTGTGGGTGTGCAGGCAGCAGGGCAGCAGGCTGTGAGTGGTGGAGGCGTTGAGGCGTCAGAGGGAGAGTATGAGGGTGAGGCTGCACGGGACGTGCTGGGGCAGTCGGTGTGCACGAGTGATGGGATGGAGGAGGCGGTGGAGGAAGCACAGAGAGAGGAGGGGGAGAGGGGAGCGGGGGGAGATGAGGGAGACAAGAGGGAGGGAGGAAGAGTGGAAGAAGAGAGGGTAGGGAATGGAGAGGGGGAGGAAGTGGGAGCAGCAGAGGTGAAGGGGGGGTTGGAGGGAGGGCGGGGAGGCAGAGGAGGGCAGGAGGGGGAGGAACGGGAGACAGTGGGGGCTGCAGTGGTGGGATTAAGGGGCGGTATAGGGGAGGCGACTTTTGAGTCGACGCAAAAGGAGGGGGAGGAGCGGGAGAATGTGGGGGCTGCAGTGGTGGAAGTGAGGATCGGGGAAGGGGAGGCCATGGAGAGAGTGAGATTGCCAGTGCTGGCAGCAGCAGGGGTCGAGGTAGGGGCGGCAGCAGTGGCAGTCGCAGAAGCAGCAGAGGAAGGAGCGGCAGTTGATGTAGCAGTGGTGCCAGCAGTGGTGCCAGCTGTGGTGCCAGCAGCAGAAAGTGATAGGGAGAGAGAGATGGAAAGGACAGGACGGGAAGGCGAGGGGTCAGTAGTGAGGAATGGAGGGGAGAGCGGAAGAGGTGCAAGTGGTGCAAATGGAAGCAACAGTGGCATCAGCAGGAGCAGCAGCAGCAACAACAATAACATCAGCAGCAGTGAGAGTCTGGCAGAGCGAAGGCTGGTGATGGGATGGGCTGGGGGGAGCCGTGGGGCCGGCAGGGGGGGTGGAGAGGGAGGGAGGGAGAGCACCGTTGGTGGGCCCTCGCTGCGAAGGCCAGTTGTGGGCGGCAGTGAGGATCAACGAGATACAGGGCAGGCGGCTGTAGCGAAAGCAGCTGTAGTAGAGCGGGCTGTAGCGGATGAGGCTGTAGCGGAGGAGGCTGTAGCGGATGAGGCTGTAGCGGAGGAGGCTGTAGCAGAGGGTGCTGTACAGGCTGCTGTGGGTAGTAACGAGACTGACGTAGAGGCATCTGTAGCAGAGACGGCTGTAGCAGAGGCGTCACCAAAGGGCGATTTACCTGAGGAGATGGTAGCGCAGGCGGGTGGAGGAGAGGCAGAGGTGGTGGTCGTGGATGGCACTACAACGAAGGCTGAGGGGAATAAGGCCGCAGACACTGATGCTATACCTGAGGAGATGGTAGTGCAGGCGGGTGGAGGAGAGGCAGAGGTGGTGCATGACACTACAACGAATGTGACTGCAGCAGAGGCTGTGGAGAATGATGCTGTTGCAGGGGAAGGGGAGGGTGATAGGGTAGGCAACAGGGTAGGCACCAGGGTAGGCGACAGGTTAGGCCAGAGGTTCGGCAACAGGGTCGGCGACAGGGTCGGCGACAGGGTTGGCAACAGGGTCGGCGACAGGATTGGGGACTATGTGCAGAGCACTTACTGGGGCGTGGTGTGGGACCCTGAGAGTGGCGCCGAGGGCAGGGAGGCGCGGCCGGGAGGTACAGGCAGGCGGGGAGGAAGGGGGGGAGGAAGGGGGGGAGGGCGGGAGCGGGCGAGGGTGGGGGAGAGAGTGCGGAGTGCACTGGAGGAGCTAGAGAGGGCGGAGGAGGGGGAGCTGGCGGAGAGATGGGCGCAGCTGGCGCAGGGGGAGGGGGGGAGGGGCGGGGAGAGGGGCGGGGAGAGGGGGGGAGCGGGGGGGAGGAGGCAGGGGGCGGCTCAGAGAGTGGAGCAGACTTGGGAGCTGATGGGGGAGAAGCGGGCGAGGCTGCGAGGGGATCGAGAGCGGTTGAGTCCGGTGATGGGGATTGGTCGGGGAGTGGGGAAGGAGGGGAGTGAGGGGGCGGAAGAGGCGGGGATGGGGGAGTGGGCGCAAGAGGGGGAACGGGAAGAGGAGGGGAGGGGGAGTGAGGTGGTGTGGAAGAGGGTGGATCCAGAAGAGGCTTGGCTGTTCGTTCAAGAGCAAATGGTGAGTGCAGTGCTGCTCGCTTGCTGGTATGAAGAGTTTTCAAGAACCAGCTAGTTCTGTTCACTTGCTTCTTCGTCCCCCTGCGCTCCCCCCTCCCATCAGGTGGATCTCTCCGCCCTTCCACCCCCTCCTGGCGCATAGCCGTGCGTTCTCTTTGCCCTTCTTGATATCTGATTTCGTGCTCCCTCCTTGCACTCTTGTTTTCTCAAACCCTGTTCTCCCCCCCCTCCCATCAGGCGGATCCCGCCGCCCCTCCGCCCCCTCCTGCTGCATGGGGGCGTGTTCTCTCTGCCCTGCGCGACCCCGGGCAGTACGGGCAGCTGAAAGAAGTTTACCGGATGATGCTAAGCGCTTTGGAGCGGGAGGGGACTCAAGTGCACGGGCAGCAGGGGCAGGAAGGGCAGGAGGTGCTGAAGGGGGGGCAGCAGGGGCTGGAGGAGCTGAGAGCGGTGCAGCAGGGGCGGGAGGAGCTGCAAGGGGGGCGGAGCATGAGTCGTTATGCTGCGACTCCTGATGGGGGGGTTGACAGTAGTGTCAGTGACACTAGAGAGGGTGACAGTACAGGGAGGGGCAGCGGTAGAGTTGACAGCAGTGGCAGTGACAGTAACAAGAGTGATAGTAATGAGAGTGCTACAGTGTTCACGGGAGGGTACGTGCTTCCATTCAATCTGGTGCTGATGTCAGCATGCAGGCGGGGAGCAGCTGATGACTTGGCAGCTGTTTTTGGTGACATGCTCAGTCATAACGTCATCCCGTCATGGGTATGTGATAGGCATCATGGGTATGTGATAGGCATTATGGGTATGTGATAGGCATTATGGGTATGTGATAGGCATTATGGATATGTGATAGGCATCATGGGTATGTGATAGGCAACTCTACTTCACGGATCCTAAACCCAATGCCTCTGTGCCTGCCACCCGCTTCGCCCTAAATCTGCCAACCTTCTTGGTGCACTGCACCCTCTCCCCGCACTCCTCCTCACCTCAACCTCCCCCCCCCCCCCCCCCCCCCCACTCCCTCTCTTCCCTCTTCCCCCTCCCGAGCTCCCTTTACAGAGCTCTCTACTCTTCGTGCTGAACGGCGCTTGCGGCCCCAACCAGCCGTTCCCCTCCCCGGCGGTGCTTGTTGCCTTTGTTGCCTCTAAGGCCACTCAGCTGCCACCAGAGCCCCACGTGTCTGATGAACTGGCGACAGCTGGCGCGGTTATACCTGATGCAGTTACGTCGGACAGGGTTACGTCTGCGGCGGCCCCGTGTGCCAGCTCAGCGTCGTCTGCGCATGCCAGGTCAGCGTTATCCACGCGTGCTCGAGAGGTTCTGGAGAATATGGCAGTGCTGCTGATCGGAGAGCCGTGGGCCGTTGATCGACTGAGATGGAGCGTGGAGATCGCAGAGTGCATGCAGAGGGCTCAGGGCAGCACCCCCCTCCTTCTGCCCTCTCCACTTGCTAGACCGTTCTTCTTTGCCTCTAGGAGCTTGCGGTTGGTTGGTCGGGGGGGAGATGGGGAGGGGAGAGAAGAAGCAGAGAAGCGGGATGAAGGGAGGGGCAGACAGGAGGGAGAAGAAATGGAGTATGTACGGAAGGGGAGGGAGCAGGGGGGAGGAGCGAAGGGGTCTGAAGGGAGAAGAGGAGGAGTAGAAGGGGAGCAGGATGAGGAGGCAGAGGAGGGATTGGATGGAAGGGGTGCTGGCCTTGGTGCTTCTGGGAGAATGGAGCTTCTGAAGCAGCAGTTGATTGGAGTGGTTCGGCCGGACGAGAGACGCGAGGAGGAGAAGTGGGAGGGAGGCTCGGTGGCCGTGCTAGGCTCGACGGAGGCTCGGGAGGAGCTGGCCAATCGGATGGAAGCACTTTTACAGGCCAGTGCTGCTGCCCGGCAGGCTGCCTGGGAAGCGAAAACTGCCCGGCGGGCAGCTGAACAGGCAGAGTGGGCAGCGAAACAGTTGATTGTGAACGCAGAGTGGAGGGAGGCGAGGGAGAGGGAGAGGGGGGTAGCAGTGGAAAGGTGGGTGAAGGGGAGAGGTAGGGTGAAGAGCGTTAATGAGGCGTGGACTCAAGTGGTGGAGCGAGATAAGGGGGTGGAAGTGGGGGTTGAAGGGGGACGAGAGAGGGGGATTGTGGGGGGTGAAGAGGGGGGAGAAGGAGGGTCTGGGGGGGATGAAGAGGGAAGAGTGAGGGGGGCGGTCAGGGGCGGTTTGGGGGAGGGGCCGGAAGGAGGCAGATGGGGGGCGGAAAGAAGAGGGGATAGGGAGGAAGAGGAGAAAGAGGAGGGTGCAAGGGAGATTGGAGGTGGTGTGGGCGCAACAGGCGCGGGGGAAACAGACTTGGGGGAGCAGGGGGTGGGGGAGCAGAGGGAGCAGAGGGAGCAGAGGGAGCAGAGGGAGCAGAGAAGGCAGAGGGAGGAGAGGGAGGAGAGGGAGGATAGGGAGGAGAGGGAGGAGAGGGAGGAGAGGGAGGAGAGGGAGGAGAGGGAGGAAAGGGAGGAGAGGGAGGAAAGGGAGGAGAGGGAGGAGAGGGAGGCGTTTGCAGTGGGGGTGGCGGAGCAGGTCAGGATGGTTGAGATGCGACTGGTGAGTGACTCGATTCGACTCTTGTGGGGCTCTTTGGCCGCGGTAGACTCTTCACCTGCTGTGCTGTCGCCTCGTGTCGTGTCGTTTCGTGTCGTGTCGTGTCGTTTCGTGTCGTGTCGTGTCGTGTCGTGACGTGTCGTGTCGTGTCGTGTCGTGTCGTGTCGTGTCGTGTCGTGTCGTGTCGTGACGTGACGTGTCGTGACGTGACGTGTCGTGTCGTGTCGTGTCGTGTCGTGTCGTGTCGTGTCGTGTCGTGTCGTGTCGTGTGGCTTCATGTCACATCATGTCATCCTGCTTTCCCCAACCTCTCATCCTGTCTCGCGCATCCCCTCTCTGCTTACCCCTTTCCTGCCTACCCTCTCTCTCTGCCCTCTCTCCCTGCCCGTCCTTCCACCAGGCACAAGGCATCCTCCCGGACCCAGCCTCCTGTGAGTCCCTCCTCTCAGCCCTGCGCATCGCCTCAACGCACCACGCACACCACCAAGGCCCCGCGTCGCCCCTGCTGCCCACAGCACGGGCCATGCTGTGGCGCCTGGCGGGTGCCGGCGCTGCTCTGTCTGCTGCGGCCCTCAATGAGGCCATCCGCGAGGCTGTTGCGTGCTGCCAGCGGGGCTACGGGGGCGACGGGGGCGACGGGGGCGACGGGGGCGACGGGGGCGATGGGGGGAGTGGGCCTGAAACGACTTCAGCAGCAGCAGCAGCGTCGGCATCATCATTATCAGGTGGATCATCAGGAGGAGCAGCAGCGATGGTGGAGGAGGTGGATGGGTTGCTGCTTGAAATGCATCGACGGGGCGAGCTGCCCAACCAGGTGCATTGCAAACGGTGTATGTGCATGCGTTTCTCAATCGCACAGCTGTCAAAATGCACTTGCCACCATCCCATTCCCCCCTCCACAATCTCATCCCTCTCCCCTCCTTTTCCTCGTTCCCTTCTTCGCTATCTTCCCTCCCTTCCCCTCTCTCCCCCCCACGCACAGGACACGGTTCACATTCTCACTCACTCGCTCGTGGGCCCGCCTCCCCTCCCTTTCTCCTCCCCTGCACGCCTCCTCTCCCACCTCATCCGCCTGGCATCGCTCCACCTCCCCTCCCCCGTCTCCTCTGCTGCTGCTGCCACTACTGCACCACCACCAGCAGCAACAGACCGAGCAATGGCAACAGGACCAGCAGCAGCAGCAGCAGCAGCAGCAGCAGCAACACCATCAGCACCACCAGCACAAGAGCCAGCATCAACAGCAGATGGTCCTGTAGGTGACGCTTTGACGTCCTCCCCTCTCACCTCCCCTCTCACCTCCCCTCTCTCCTCCCCCCTCTTCCACCGCCACCGAACCAACCTGATCTCCTGGACCGTCCAAGCCTGCTGCTCAGGCTCGGGCTCCGCTTCCGGGCCAATAAATCCGGTGGACATGCCACGTGTCGCATTCTCATTGGACCTCCTGCGGCTGCTGAGGCGAGAGGGGCAGGAGCCCCCTGCTGCTGCTTGCTGTGCTCCGATTGGTGCTCTCGTGGGGGAGGGGAGGGTGAGGGGAGATACGGTGCAAAGGGAGGAGGGGAAGGCGAGGAGAGGGGCAGTGGAAGGGGAAAATGTAGAGATGAGAGATGGAAAGGAGGGGGGAGAGGAGAGGGAGGAGGAGGAGGAGGAGGAGGATTGGGCGTTGAGGGTGGCAGCAGGGGTGGTGGGGGAGGCGGTGCAGGAGGGGTGGTTGCATGCTGGTGATATGGCTCGGGTTGTGCTGCTGGCACATGCGAGACAAGGGCTTCGAGAAGAGGTGAGGGGGAAGGGGAGGAACGGGTGAGGCCAAGAGGGGAGGGTGAAAGGGGGAGAGGGGTAAGGGAAGAGGGAAGAGGGACGAGGTAAGGAGATGTGAAATAAGTGTTTTTTTCTGGCTTTTCTAAGAGGTAAGAGAGAGGGGAAAAGGGACAGCAGGGGGACAGAGAGGCTTCCATTCCCTCCGACTGACCTCCCTCCTTTCCCAACCCCCCATCCCTGCCTCCCCCTATCCCTTACCACTGCCAGGCCTCGTCTCTCCTCCACTGCCTCTCCCATGCCAACCTCCCTATGCCGGGCAACTATTGAGACGTCTATAAAGCCCTCCCCCCCTGCCGCCCCCTATCCCTTACCACTGCCAGGCCTCGTCTCTCCTCCACTGCCTCTCACGTGCCAACATCCCTGTTCCGGGCGGCGCACTGTTGGACGTGCTGCGGGCGGCAGCAGCGCACAGGCAGGCGGACTTTTTCGTCTTCTTGCTGCGGGAGTGGATTTCTGCGGATGTGACTGTATTGGGGGGCCCGCGGGCTCTAGAGGAGGTGCTACAGCTGCTGCTGCGATGCAGACGACCCCACCAGGTGAGGGGCAAGAGGGTGAAACGCCTACACTTTACTGGGTTGCATTTTTACTTTCCCGCGGGCGCTAGAGGAGGTGCTGCAGCTGCTGCTAAGATGCAGACGACCTCACCAGGTGAGATGCAAGAGGGTGCGTGCCATGCTGTTGTTTCTGCTGCAGCACCAGGTGTATTGGGGGACCCGCGGGCTCTAGAGGAGGTGCTGCAGCTGCTGCTAAGATGCAGACGACCTCACCAGGTCAGAAGCATGCTGCTAGTGGTGCTAGTGGTGCTAGTGCTGCTAGTGCTGCTAGTGCTGCTAGTGGTGCTAGTGGTGCTAGTGGTGCTAGTGCTGCTAGTGGTGCTAGTGGTGCTAGTGGTGCTAGTGCTGCTAGTGCTGCTAGTGGTGCTAGTGGTGCTAGTGGTGCTAATGCAGCTAATGCTGCTGCTACCACTTCTGCTGCTGTTGCCACCACCGCAGCCGCCACCTTTTCTCCCTGCCGCAGCTGCTCTTCTCCTCTTCTCTCTGCCGTCACCACCCGTCCTCATCGCTCTCTCGTCACCACCCCCACCCCCCTTTCTCCCACCCTCTGCCAGGCCGTGTCATGGTTCCGCCGCTGCTTGGGAGCGTACCCACACGCACCCCCCTCGCCAGCAGTGGTGGGGGCGCTGCTGCACTCCGTACCCCTGACTGTAACCCACCCCCCCCTCCGATTCCGCCACCACCTTCCCCTCTTCCCCCCTTCCCCCCTCTTTTCTCCCACCCTCTGCCAGGCTGTGTCGTGGTTCCGGCGCTGCCTGGGAGCACACCCACACGCCCCCCCCTCGCCAGCAGTGGTGCGGACGCTGCTGCATGCGCTGCAGAGGAAAAGCATGTGGCATGAAATGTTGGACGTGTTCGGGTCGCTACAGCACTACCCGGGCTATCATGACAAGGTGAGGGGAGGATAAGGGACTGTGAGGCGTGCGGGAATGGTTGCTGCAGAGGAGAAAACATGTGGCACGAGATGCTGGACGTCTTTGGGTCTCTACAGGCCTACCCGGGCTATCATGATAAGGTGAGGCGTGCAGAGGGGCGGTGAGGGGTGCAGGGGAGACGTGAGGCATGGGGGGGGAGATGGGAGGGATGCTGGACGTGTTCGGGTCTCTGCGGGACCACCCAGGTTTCCATCACAAGGTGAGGTGTGCAGAGGGGCAGTGATGGATAAGGTGAGGCGTGCAGGGAAGAGACGTGCGGGGGGGTAAAAGGAGGCAATGTTTGAGACCTGTCAAAACTCGCCAGCAACACGGAGTGTGAAGAGTGGCGCCCATGCTACATGAGTTAGGACCTGTGGGACCTCACGTTCATGCACCATGCTGGACAAGCCTGGGTCTCTGCGGGACTACCCGGTCATCCGCACTCTCCTGCGCTACCATCAGCCCAAGCTGTCAATAGTCCTTCTCCCCAACTTGTGTCCATTCGCCTCTGCCCTCTTGCATGCATGGCAGGTCAACTACACGACGGTCATCCGCACGCTCCTGCACTGCCGCCAGCCAAAGCTCGCCCTCACACTCTTCCGAGACATGCTGGCAGCAGGGGTGCTCCACTGCGACCCCCACGGGCGCGTGCTGTCAGGCCGTGATAACGACGCCACCCATGAGAGGCTGCTGCAGGCCGTGCGGCATGCGGCTCTCCTGGTGGGCGATAGGGAGGTGCTCGGCATGGTGGGCGGTGGTGCTGTGGGTGCTGGCGGCAAGACCAGGAGCGAGAGATTCTGACCAGCTCCTCCTGGGGTTGGGGATGAGAAAGACACTCTCTTACCACCGAGTCCTGGCATCCAATAGCTTTTGATTGGTGTAGTTCACGGAGTTTAATCGACATGGACGGGTACGATTAGCGACGCCACCCATGGGAGGCTGCTGCAGGCGGTGCGGCATGCGGCTCTCTTGGTGGGCGGCAGAGAGGTGCTCGGCATGCTGGGTGGTGGTGCCGTGGCTGCACGCAGCAAGACGAAGAACGATAGATTCGTACCGGCTGCTCCTGCGGTTCGGGATAGAAATACACTCCTTGACAAGATGGCGAGCCCTGACAACCAGGGCTCGTGATGGTTGATTTGTTTCACCAATTATGGCAGCTGAGGTGCTGCAGAGAAACGCCAGTGACAAGTGTTGGTGATGGACTGTATTTTCTACGGTAGGACATGCACGCAGGCAGTTCACCATGCGGCATTTTCTGTACACTATACCTCTAGGTGTGAATAGTGATATGCTGTACAGTAGATGGGTGTGGCCAGATAAATGTCTGCATTTAATGCCTGTAGAAAAGAGAGTTGTTGTAGTGTAGACAGGCACCACTACAAAGAACCACACATGGTAATAGAAAGTGTTGGGTGCATATGTACAGTTCGTACGTAGTTTGAAACTATGCTAGTCGGTAGCTCTCACAAGTATATTAGTAGCCACCGTGGTACAGTGGAATAATTTGGTGCAAGAAAGCCCAAGATGGTGAGGGTAAGGTACTAGTGGGTCATCTGGGTAGCGGAAATAAAGTACAGTTATGGCAGTGATAATCTTTTGTTCTTCTTAGGACTAGGGTTGTTAGGTTGGTCAAAGATTTTCTCAAACGTTACGCTGTACCGAGTTCGCTTCAGCAGAAGGTGGTTCGGCAGAAACAGCCAGCAACACTTTTCCGTTTTGCTAGAAATCCGTCAGCGGAAGGGACTGTTGAACTAGTCGACCAATCGGCTGGCCGAGAAAGGAAACTGCTGTTCGAGTAAGAACAACGGACGCAACTGGAAGCCGGGAGAGACTCAGGAAGGGACCACAGTCAGGCTTTGACTAACTTTGGCATGAATACCTTTGATGCCCCTCGAACCGATCGATTACCTGCGAAAATAATTAACGACCGAAAACAGTAGATCTTGAATCCGAGGCGCAGCCGCCAGCCCACTCTATCCACCAATCAGAGCAATCGCAAGCAACTTCCTACCCCCCAACGAACCCACACTTCCTGAATTGCTCCCATTTGCAACCAAACCAAGCAGAAGCCACGGTGAAGCGTACTGTATTACAACGAGCCGTATAAAACCGTTCTCAAACATGAAGAACCCAACCGATTCCAAGTTGCTACCAGATTCACATACAGTTCAACCCACCAGCAGGAGCGTGGTTCATGATTCTCGCTGCAGCTGGAAGCTTGAGAAAGCATTCCCTTCCCATAGCAGCAAGCAGAGCAAGCGGCGCTCTCCTATGTAAATTCCGGCAAAGAAACGGCAAACCAGCCTAGACGACTGTCTGTTTCGTCTGCGGCTTTCCGAGTGCTTGCCACCGTTGCCAGCCATATCTTATCAGCATTGTCAGCGAGTCGAACGGCCCTTCCTCCCGTCCCTTCCCTAGCAGCGCAGCACCAGCTTGCTTTCTCTGCAGTTCAGTAACAGCCATTTGCGGTCCGTGCCGGGCAGCTCACCATTCGGGGTGACGACTGTCCCTTCTGACCAACGGCTAGTGCTGTGGGAAGTGAGGACCCATGAGTTATGACCATGAATCGTGGCAACTGTACAGTCCTCGTTCAAGCGTGCGTTTCCTTGACGTTTCTAGCTCCTCGCACCACTCACAAGAAACAGTGGCAGCACGTGATGTCATTTTCTACGAGCGACTCACCCTTTCAACGTACCTGTACAACTTGGAGACTTCACGAGATGTCACAGGCGGATTTCGTGGGGACCGAGCCTTCGCTTCGGCAGAAGATGAAGCTGACATGGACGAGCAGACCATGGACGGAGCTTCGGAAGAAGCCGGACCACTTCCCTACTGCTCGGTGGATATTCCAATGGAAGATGACAACCCTCGCGAAAGCATCAACGCCGAAGTCTTCTACGACTTCGCCGACAACAGTTACGTTACACCCGCCCGAGTCAACACCAACGAAGCCGAACGCATAGGACCCAATTTCTTACCTGATCCAGAAGAAGGTGACGAAGCAGCTTATCCCGAGGATACAACACTTCCCCGCTACACACAGAGCTGATTCCAGATACTTGGCCTCGTCACCTCGATCCACGGCACGGAGATTCCTAAGGAGCCTGCCACAGTTCAGCAGGCTCTGGGGGGGGAGCATAGGGAAAAATGGCACGAAGCCATGGACAAGGAGCTGAAAGCACTGGAAGAACGGAACACCTGGAAAGTCGTTCCCATCGGCGTGGCACGTAACAAAACGGTACTCACCGGAAAATGGGTCTTCCGTGTGAAGACAAAGGCAGACGGCACCATCGACAAGTTTAAGGCGCGCTGGGTCGTGCGCGGTTTCGACCAAGAGCACGGACGTGATTTCACCGAGACGTTCGCCCCGGTCAGTCGGCACACTTCACTTCGGATTTTTCTCGCGATCGCCGCCATGAAAAAGAAGAAGCTGCGGCAAATTGACGTCGCCAATGCATTTCTCTACGCACCTGTTGACGCCGAAATCTTCGTCGAACTTCCACACGGCTCCAACGGAGAGCCCAACCAAGTCTGTCAGCTGCTGAAGTCCCTGTACGGCATCAAACAGGCTCCAAGACTCTGGCAGCAGTATCTACACGCTCGACTCATCCGCATCGGATTCCGACAGCTACCACACGACCAGGGCATGTACCGGCTCACGAAAGGTGACGACTACATTCTGCTCATCGTCTACGTGGACGATTTGCTCTACATCGGCTCGACTGACATCGTCACTACTTGGTTTGAAGGGGAGCTGCAGCAGGACCTCACTCTCACAGTGTCTTCAACCGTCACGCAATACCTCGGCCTCAACATCCAGGAAGAGGAAGGCGCGATCTATCTCAACGCCGCGAAATATGCCGACACTATCGCCAAACGCTTCGGACTCACCCCGACCACCATCTCCACGCCATACCGCTACACTGCAGGAAATCACAAGGAAGGCTCCGCTCCGCTCAAGCCCGCAGGCATACGCGATTACCAGAGAAAGTTGGGGTGCCTCCTCTTCGCGGTCGTCACCTGCCGTCCGGATCCATCGTACTCAGCAAGTCAACTCGCCACCTACCTCAAAAGGCCCGAGGCAGAACACATGGCGGAGCTCGACCGCGCTCTTCACTACCTCGCTAGCACTCCGACGATCGGCCTGACCTATCACAAGAATGGAACCTCGATACCTAAGTTAATCGGCTACGTCGACGCCGATCACACTGGCGACTCCGACAACAGACGCTCGCGCACCGGCTACATCTATCACCTCGAACCTATCGGGCCTATCTCCTAGCAGTCGAGCAAGTAGGAGTTAATCGCCCTCTCCTCAGCTGAAGCATAATATATCGCACTCTGCTCAGCCACCAAGGAAGGATTGTACCTTCGCGAACTCCTGGAGGAAGCGAAGCTGGCTCAGTTACCCAGCTTCTCCCTGTTCTGCGACAACCAATCAGCAATTCGCATAGCCAACAAAAATGGATTCGCGAACAGGACGAAGCACATCGCCCTGCGATATTTCTTCGTGAAGGACGAGATCGAGAAGGGGAGACTCGAGCTGTCTTACTGCCCCACGTCCGAGATGGCAGCTGATTACTTGACCAAGAAACTCGGAAAGCAGAAGTTTGAGTACTGTATGCTGCTGACTTGACAGAGCCACGTCACCAGCAGCGACACTCCAGAAGCGAAGGGGAGTGTTGGAAACAAGTGATTTAAGCGCCTCTGTCGCGTCGAAACACTAAGTCATAAACGAAGCGAAACACAGCGAAACATCAGCGAATCAACCCTCGGAGGTTGAGCAACTGCTGGAGGTTACGCGAAAGTCAAAGGTCAGCGACCTTTGACCTGACAATACAGCAGGACAGCAAGGACAAACAGCTGACTCGTTACTGAGCAGTTGCCCGAGTCGTCACTGTATCGAAGCGCAACAGCAATTGCAAAACGGTTATTAACTGTATCTCTTCGTATTCCTGTACTCTTATAAAAGCTTGTATCCAGGCCCTCAGAAGTCAGGAAAAAAACGCTGATTTGCCCTTGAAAAACTTTTCTTCAGGGTTTTTTTGGGGCCTAAGGCTGACTGGAAAGTGTTTTTTTCCATGTAAGGACTGATTTTTCAGGCAAGTTATTTGTACCAACACTGAAATTTCAGGCAAGTTTCATGTACCAACACTGATTCGAACCGAGTCCTGTTGCTGAAAATGCGCGAATTCTTTGGAATTTGCCGAAAAATTCGCCAGTGGTTACGTTGCAACCCTGCCAGCACTCGGTATTGAACCTGGAACCGTCCACTTAGTAGGTCCACATTCTATTGACTGGGACATTTCAACCTACATGAACGTTATTAATTTTAAACTAGAGCTATAAAAAATTGTTTTTTGTACCTTAACACTGATTTTTCAGGGTTTTTTTTGGACCCAATCCTGACAGAAAGTTTTTTTCCAGGGACCAACACTGACGAATCAGCGTGCACCAAAACCAATCTGAGGGCCTGCTTGTATCACTTTGTTTTAATCAATCTACTTTGCCCTCACATACCAGCGTAAGGTGGTTCACAGACTTATTATTAAAACGCTTCCGCTATTACATTATTCCTACTCAGAGTTTAGTCCTAGAATCCTAAGGGCTTTTTCTCAGCCCAACAACGGGGAGGAGTTCCGTTTTTGGGTTGTGGGGAGAGGATATATTTCGTCAATCTCGTTTTTTTCGTAACACACAGCCAATCCTTGACTTCCCCCTGGTGGGAGCTCGAAAGTCCCAAAATGCAGGTGCGCTTCTTTCAAGTTTTCATGCTCCTCACCTTCAAGTTTTAAAAGCTT